ACTATACGTAGGCCTATATACGTTTTCCCCTTACCTTTACTGCTATTCAGCCTGAATCCCTAATTATATCCGTTTAATTCTGGCTAGACAGACTAATTCTCGATCCCTCGGGTCTTGCTCCTCACTTTGTCATTCCTCAACCTATAAACCAAGTGACGGTGTTTTCTATTAAGTTGCTTCTAACATTTTCAATCAACTTTCAAGTCTTCTCCGGACAACTGTTGATTGACTTACCTCCCAATAACTTTCAAAACAGCATCTAAACTTTCTCTGGTTCTTTGAAAATAAATCATACTACTACTACTACTACGATTACGACTACGACTACGACTACGACTACGACTACGACTACGACTACGACTACTACTACTACTACTACTACTACTACTACTACTACTACTACTACTACTACTACTACTATTACTACTACTAATAACAATAATAATAATAATAATAATAATAATAATAATAATGATAATAATAATGACAACAATAATAACAACAATAATAATAACAATAACAATAATTATTATATGCGCTAAGTCGGACTTAAGGGAATATCTTTTGTGTTTTTCCCCTTAACGTCATGTTACTTTCTCCTTAACGTCGTTTTTTGAATTGTTCTCTAATTTCTCCATTGTCTAAGTTCCCCTAAACGTAGGTTTTAGTAACATAATAATAACATTAATAATAAATAACGTATCTATATAGCATCGACTGAATTAATTATCACATCTGACTAAAGCGGTAGGATATGTCGATTGACTCTGGAACATCCTGACCCCAATTTTATTTTACTAATGGCGACAATCCGTTATAGTTACACGCACGTGACAAACAGAACTTCATCAACAACATACAGTTGTCATTGTCATTGCCATCCTGTCCCGTCGGATACCGCTACAATCCTCTAATTATCACAAAATATTATGTTTACAATCTAGATAATCCTAAACAAATCGAGGTTCTTGAAATTTATAATTAAGAGATATAAAACGTGACCAAGATGGCAAAGGAGGTGGTCAACGTCTACAGGTAAAGTTATGGCGATTGCGTACCTCCCCGATTCCACCGTGACGAACAAAATACGAAGGATAAAAAAAAGCGTCCACTAAACTTTCGTTTGAAGGAAGTGACAGGTGTCAGTCAAAAATGTATGTCATCAGGTTGACGAACTGGTTGCCAAGCATTAGCAGTTACATATTGATCAATATTTATCACCGTCTAGTCAAAATCTGATTCAGCAAACCGTGCTGTACGTGTCACTCCATTCCACCACAGCCTGGTGTCAACGCATGTCTTCAAAAAGGGACGAATTCCATCTGATTCCTATTGTAATCTTTATAATAGGACTATCATGAAAAACAAAAAATACCAATAACATTAACAGCCTAGCTGATACTGAGTTTATATAAAGATTATTGAATGAGAACTATACAAGTCAAATATTTCAAGTTCGAGACAAACTTTTAGTTTGCTCTGCTACGTCATTCACATTTGTGACCGTTCACTCATCGTTTTATTTTCGCTTTTTTGAGTATTTCTCCGATTGAAACAGATAGGCATTGGCTTTAAATTGCTGATACCTTATTATAGTAGTTCGGACCTATAAATGTGTTTACTCATGTTTTACTTACATTCTTTATTTGTCATATTTATTTGTTTGCCCAACATAATTTTACTGATTATCATAAAATAAAATAGTAATAGGCCTTAGGATAAATCACATAATTATTATCATCTATATTGTCAATATAATAATAATCATGAAAATAAGATAAATAAATCATAAAAGGTGGGATACTGCAAATATAAAATGTTAGTGCATTAAACAAATAATTACATAAAAGATTTTAAAAAAATGAGTTACCGTCATTCAAATAATCGCCCTGGGCATTTATTGCTGAGAAGGGTTTTGAGGGGGGGAGTTAATTCGAACATTTTCTATGATCTATGAACGACCCGAAACCACGAGGAAAGAAAAAAAATATGATACGCTATATTTTTGCATTAAATCCAACAAAGAATCAAGGAGATATAAAGCAGAAATATGCTTTGCCATTTTGGTGTGCTCCAAGTTAAATATACACCATTTGCAAGTCATATTATTGTCTCCTGAGAACTATTTAAATGAGTGGTAATTGAGCGTCTCGCAAGGGGATCAAACACCTGCATTTGGGGCTAGCTTGTGCTGACTTATACGCACCTGTATCTCATATAACCAATACAAAAAAATATATAAGCTACACTTTCCAATACATGTACATAGCCCAAGTAGGTAAGATTGTTTTAAATTCATTATCATATAGTGTACATGTATTTTATGGTACAGTGCAGTGCATTAGGATGTGCACTGAGTTTAATAGGCCTACATATTATAGTATGTTGTCACACTCCAAAAATTTACAAGGCCATGAGCATCACGAGGAATAATACATACCGGTAATACAACCAGGGTGGATCCAGGATTTAAAAGAGGGGAGTTCAAATTTTTTCCAAAAACCCAAAATGAAAGGGGGTGCATAATTACACCACAAAAATAAACAAAATCCATATTAATTCCCAGAAGAATTTCAAGCAAAATCCGTATACTAATTATCCCATCGAGGCAGTGTTGCTCCCCATATAAGTATGCGCAGATACTCAAAGGCAGTATGTTGAGCATCAGCACCTTCCGCCCCAGGGTAAGCCCAGGGCTCTACTACCCGTGCACTGCAAAAGGAGCAACATTGCGTCGACAGAGAAAAGTGGTATCATGTATTTGTTTGTTTGTTTGTTTGTTTGTTTTTTTTGTAAATAATATAAATTCAACAGAGAAACATCAAGGTTCTCTACAAGCCTCGGTGAAAATCCAAATTAATTCCTAGAAGAATTTCGTGCAGAATCTGTATACCAATTATCCCATCGAGGCAGTGTTGCTCCCCATATAAGTATGTGCAGATACTCCAAGCAGTATATACCTGAGTATTTGGTACAATAACACGACAGATAGGGCAAATACTCACTCCTATGATATTTCTTGAGGCAAACTCACCATTTTTAGTGGTTTTTTTTTATCTGGCTAGATAAACATTTTTATTATTGGCCAGTATATCTTAACCACATGCTTACCTAAGATTTTACTGACATTGGTTTCTAATAAAATAACTGACAAATTTAGTTTGTATCAATGTTTTAATAAGTACATAAAACTATGTCACAAATACGTATGCAAAAATGCACAGGGACACCACGTTGTTTATGTATTTTTCTTGAAATCTGTATGCCTGATAACCATCATCATACACGGCATAATAGATTTAAGTAAGATGTTTCAAATGATATAAAAATTTATGCAAACATGCCTTTGGAACAGTTTCTTTTTTCGAGTTTTATTCACCTTAACGTCGACTCCTTTTTAGAAAGCACCAGAAACAGGATCTTTTTATAAACCTCTAATACCAAAAATAATCAGTAAATCCTGTGCAATAAATAAAAATACATACATAGTAAACTGATTAACAATTAAACACATTTTGCATAAATGAGGTCCCATGAAAAATTGTAATATTTATGATCATTTAAGAAAGAATAACAGTGCCGGGCACTCACTGCGTCGTACTACAAATCGCTCCCTGTGAACGCAGGGCCGATCCAGGATTAAAAAGAAAAAATCCCCAAAATGAAAGGGGGTACGGGGGTTCTTCCTCGGGAAAATTTTGATTCCTAGATGGCTGGAAATGAGCTTTCCTGGCTAATGAGGATTATTTGAATGACCTTTAAATTCTTCAAAATTCAAGATTTTCCCCTCTTTAAAAAAGGTCAGGTAGAATTTTATCTCATTCTTTAGGCCTATCATAGAGGGAAAAAATCGAAGACAGGCAATATATTATTATATTCCAACAACATTGAGTAGTTAGATATGTAGTCTTTCTTCAATGGATCGATGAACCGATAGGACTGAAGAACTCACTTTCGTACATAAATTTTTACGACAGCGAACCAAAAACTGTGTATAATTTATTTGTCTGATCTTCCAACCTGCCTTGGTATTAGCATGCTTTTTGTAAACCAGGACTCTTGTATTTTGTTGCATTTCTTCACAGAGGGGGTTTGTCCGAACCCCTTGAACCACCCCCTCCCCTGGATCCGCCACTGTACAACAATGCTTAAATAAAAGCGCCGAAACGTAGAATAAAATGGTTTTGTCAATTTTTGGAGTGACATTACAGTGCATGGTGGCTATTGCTGTGGGGGCGCTAGAGAGAATTTTGCACATGTGAGAGGAATAAAAACATCATCACCACCATCATCATCTTATCATTATTATTATTCAGTGTCAAATTTTTTTAACTTTTGAAATTAGTCTTTAAATATATAAAACTAGATTTTGGTCTCCTCATCTTCGCAGTAAAAATTTACAGTACGGTATCGCCAAGGAATCACTGTCGACCAATCATCGTGAGAGATTATTGGGTTTCCTGTTTTCCCCCATTACGTCATCAGGCCAACATACGTGGTATAGGAAGGAATTTCTGTGTAAGAAGTACTGACAATTTAGGGTTTTGTTTGTAAAGGCATTGTTTAACATTTGACCAATTGCGCCCTAATTCAATTGTTGATTATGTATTGAATATTTATAAATATGACCTAAGCCTAATGCATGATGTGCGTCAATTCTATTCAGCCTCCGTTCTAGGCTAGGCTGCTAGGCTAGTTTTAATGCGTGTTTGTTTTTATCTTAAAGCCGGACAAACTACATCTCGCAGTGGAAGATTATCTGAATTTGTAGCCAGGTAGGCCTATGCCTAGAATTAAGGCTTTGCATGGGTAGATGAGTCTGACATATTTCTTCTTAATCATGGACTAATCGTAAATAAAGACACCGACAATCAATGACATGTGATTAATTTTAGATATTGAAATGGTTATATTTGTAGTAGGCTAGGCATATAGGCCTATTTGTTTTTCTATATAGTATTCTAGTAGGGCCCTGTGTCATTTGCTTTTGTAATTGTTTTCTGTTCATTTACCTTGCTAGCTTGTATAAGGTTACAACCTAGGTTTTGTATGTTTTCCTTTGGAATAAAGTGATTTTATATATAATATTAGACCAAATGCTGTGGGATTTGGCAAGTTATATTTTACATTTTTAAATATTATTTTATTCAATTAGGAAGGCTGGCAAGAATGATTATCTGACTACGAAACAAGAGCAGGACAAAAGGACAAAGGGAATCAAACAACAAAAATGCCTCAAGATATACAAAAGACATCAAAGTCACGAAGTGACACAGCAGTATGCCAAACTTTCATCAATTTATTATGAATTTTAAAAATTAGTATTGTTGATCACAACATGACCACTGAAATAATGAGATATAATATATCATTATGTCCATGCCAATGAAATTCTATATATAAAAGAGAGCATTGGGAAACTTGCAACGTGCATAAAAGGCCAAATTTAAAAAGCCTAAATCTCTTAAAGAAATAAGAAATTAATTAGAGGGAAGGCCACACAAGATAGAGAGCTTGACAAAGAGAGACCAAACAGTAATATACTGTATGTAGATACAAAAGGCTGAAAATATTGTACAGTCTGTGATAATAAATATATGCAAGACAACTCTCTTGTAAGATGTGTTATAAAATGGACAACACTTTCTAATAAATATAATATAATTATATATTTTTCTCATTTACTTTTTTTTCATACAGGTTCAGGGCACAAATGATAGTAGCATAGTAAGCAAATGCTCAATGGTTACCCGTGGTTACTTCCATGATGACTTTGTGTGTCATTTTGTTGCTAAGCAATCAAGAAGATCCTCGTTAATCAATAAAGGATACTATATCAGAGCTAAGGCAGTGGACCACATTTTTAAATATTTCTTTGCTTGGTGTAACGGCACTGAAAACCAGGTAGGGTCATGTCTTTGCAATACCTTGTTTATTTTTGTTCTATTTACAATCACTTTTATTGCACATAAATGAATGTTCATAAAAAAAAATGAATAACTATAAAAAGTAGCATAAAAATATTTTAATGATAGAAAACTGTTACAAATAATAAAAATCAATATTTAACCAAATCATGTGTTTGATACACATTGTTTGTGATTATTCTTTATCCAATGACTGGAGGTAAAATTACCTTAAATATATTATCAATGAAATATCAGAATATAAGTCAATAATTTAAATATATCAATATTTTGAAACTTATGTAAAATAAAAACTTGGATGAAATTAAAATTTAACCAAATTTTAATTATTTGCATTGCATTAGGTTATTTCTCTCGGTGCAGGATTTGATTCTGCATTCTTCCGGTTAAAATCTGAGGGTTTGCTAGAGACCACCAGGTTTGTGGAGGTTGACTTCCCAGACGTTGTCCGTAGGAAGGTTGCACTGATACAGCATCATCATCAATTAAACCAAGTACTTAAAGATGAGCTTAAGATACCAGATACAATTCATAAACTTAAAGGTGAATTTTTTGTATGAAAATATAAGGGTATAATATGTAATAGATGTTTGTAAATATAGCAATATTATTAAATTTTCTTTTATCTTATTTACTCAGATGTCTGTCCTGTATATTCTTCACCTGGTTATCACATTATAGGGTGTGACCTGAAACAAGTAGCTAAATTGACATCTTGCCTGATGCATTGTGGTATTGATTATCAGCTTCCAACATTAGTTTTATCAGAATGTGTTATTACATACATGGGATCTAAAAGGTATCTTTCTCAAATATTTAATAATGTGTCTTGTATTGGAAATATAAATGTCAGTAAAGATAAGCTACAGCAATGCATAGAGTACCGCAGTCATGTCGTTACAACACCAGGTGGCGCCCTCTGTTGTCAACCAGACGTTGGTTACTGCTCATTACACCTGAATGACTTCATATTCTTAATGGTTCAGAATAGGCTTCCTGGAATAGGCATTTTAAAACCTAATAATTTACCATCAAAATGTACTAAAAACACAAAAGCTCGCATTATATTAGTTATTGAACACACATTTAATCATCAATTAAAATTTATAAAGAAAAATTAAGATACAACATCTTAATAATTACGTTAGAAATTAGGATCAATGGTGTCAGTGGAGACAATGGGTCCAATTGAACGCATTTTGTCGCCGATAGCAATGGAGTAATATCACGTGGTATTGTGACGCAACACTGTAGTACTCTATTGGAATATATCAAAATAGAAGTTCATACATCTTATCAACAATATCTTTTTATAGCTCTAATCCAGTGATTCAATGGGTTGCAGAAACCTTTCCAGATGCCATGTTTGCATCATATGAGCAAATCTACCCTTATGATGCCTTTGGTAAAGTGATGTAAGTCAGGAAATTTTCAAATAATTTGTTTATGATAAAAAAGCATTTCATCTTATTTATGATTACATTGCCTGATTAATTTTTGCAAGTAAACTCATGTAATGCATTCTGAACAAGAGCCATTAATTATCAAGTCTTTTTCAATTACGTTGTTATATATCGTTTTATTCAATAAAGCAAATGCTGGGTCAAGATGACCAATACATGACAAAATGAGGTATTAAAATACTACTGTATTTTTAAAACTTTTTTTCTCTGAGAGTGCACTTACACTTTTATGACAAATTTATAATCACAATATTTTTTTGATTTAGGTGTGGGCATTTCAAGAGAATTGGTTCCCCTTTGAAGAGTATAGAGAAGTTCCCAACACCTAAACATCAAGTGAAGAGATACTGTGAACTGGTAGGAACAATTACTAGGGTGTTTAGCGTTGACATTTATTTTGGTTATCCAATGCTGACATACCGTGTCTATTTTGATAAACGCCCAGGGGCGCTTTGGATATACACCCTGCTGGCGTTTATTCGAGGGAGGCATTTATTTAATACGATATACTCAAATAAACGCCCAGTAATTTCACTGTAAATATAGAACCACAGTACAACACAGTGTGTTACTGAATGATTGTGAAAACTTGTGTTGAGAATAATGTTGCTTCCATTAGATTTGTCTAGAGTCATCTGGGGGGGTGGGGGTGTGCAGCGTTTATTCAAGAAAAAAAATAAAGGCATTGGGGCATTTAATTTAGGGAGGTGTTTATTTGAAGTGAGGCTCTAGAGGAGGCATTTATTTGAAGTGGGGAGGGGGAATTTATTCAATGTGGGGCATTTACTGTATTCGAATAGATACGGTAATTCATTTTTACTTGTTTACATGTTGAACCCCATATAACTTGTGAAAAACTTAATATATTAAAATAAAATAAAATAAAAATATATTGAATTTTGTTTTAATAATCAAGGTCATGCTGTATGACGCTACATGTAATGTTACCAAATATATTAATAGAAATAAATTTGTGATATTTTAGGGGTGGGCTAGCTGTGTATGCATTGATATGAATGAATTATACTGCAACATTTTACCTCAAGACGAAACAAGAAGGGCAGCAGATTTAGAATTATTTGATGAATATGAAGTAAGTGATCTTAATGAAGTACAGTACCATTCTTTCACCTCAAGTCTGTAATACATACTACATCAATGTTGTTACATTTTAGGCTATTTGGCTACAAGTGGAACAACCTGGATCTGGATTTGTTATACTCCGAAAAAATGGCAATAACAATTAACAATCAGTATAAGCCATCACATGGCATGATAAGGCCGGGAACTCATTGCGTCATTGTACGACGGTCGTACAATCGTCGTCCGATGCATCCAATGACCGTTGGGCTCAGTAAGTGCCCGGCTTAATGTTGAAGGTCTATAAACAATCATACAGATATTATTTTTGCTTTTTTTTAAAGTGTTATTTTGCTTCTTTTTTTTTAAGTGTTATTACTTATAGTAGCCAAATACTGCAACCAATCTTCAAATATCTGTAATTAATGAATATACATAAAATGCTCAAACAGTACATATACTGAATGATTGCTTGACCTTTAACATTTGACATGCACAAAACTACAAAGTGGTGTATTATTAAAGCTTTCAATTTGTGCGAGGACGTGACACTAGAATGGATTTACTTATGCTTGACCTTCCTACATTCTCTACACAAATTGGATTTGGTCAAATTGGGTTGTAGAATTCACGCGATGAGGAGAACTTAACGTTCTCGCATGCACAGATGACTTAGTGACGTCATTACATTCTACGTCCTGCCACGTGCAATCAAAAACTCCCTATTACTAGCAGTACCACTTTAATTTTATAAGAGTCAACTTTTAAATCAGACACCCTTCTCTTTGATGGCGATGTCTACTAGCGTGGAAATAACTTGCACACTATTCAGGTATATAAAAATCATTATTTTTCTGTCTTAACAGGAATTTCATTGCAAGTGTTCTCATTACATGATTTGCTGTGCATTCAATGGAACTTGCCAGGAACTCAAACCACAAATTAAACAAGGTTTTCATTCTTATTGTTAGCTCTATTCCTACCTTTGTTTTAAATTTTTGTGATAAACTTGCTTTGAAATGAAATTAGGAAGAAATATTTCTCTTTGTCATATTTGACACAAATAATTTATATTCTCTTTGCATACTTTAAATTGACTGCTAATCAATTTAAGAATTTCTAAAGTAAAAAATTTGTAAATCAGTAAAACCCTAACAGTTTTTTTCCTATGTCTCATTGGAAGAAATATTAAAGCGATCCATTAAATGAGCAATTTAATATTTTATATAATATTTTAGTGTTTTTCTAGCTTATAATGTAGACAGTAAAACTGAGGACTGTTCTCTGAAGCTGGCCTGGCATCACATGTACCCCACTGTTTGTAAAAGGTGTAATATTTCGAGTTCATATCAAAACTTTAACAAAATCTGAAATGAATATATTGAATGTTGGAAAGACTAATTTTGCTAATCGAATTTTGATTGCTTTCTTCTCTAAAAGTTAAAGACGAAAAATGTAAAGAGGAAAAAGAAGAAAATACAGACAAAGACGTACACTCTATACCATGTTCAGCTTACCAATGCAATCCAGGGGGAAATATACAGCGGTATGGGCACTGTAGCTCACAATTGGGATCAACCAAGATTGTACTCACTGGAGGATTTGGAGTTACATCTGGTGGTCACACAAAAATCTCACAAGTTGAAATTATCGACACTGATTCAGAAAACATTATTGAAGTCAAGAGTCAAGACGCAGATGCGTTTGGTATATATTTGTTGTGTTTGAAAAAAAAATACTAATTGTATTATATAGCCATCATTGGAAGCTAGTTTTGATTTTAGTCTTGCATAACAAACATGGAGGTAGAAAAGTTTCATGTATCAAACATTGATGGGCTGCTATGCTAGTTTTATAACACATTTAATTTGATTCCGATTTTTATAGTTCCTCGTATGCATCACACCATGACAAGACTGGCAGACAATCAATTGCTGGTTTTTGGTGGCCGTATGTCACCAGCCAAACCATTGAATGATTCTTGCCTTCTAAACTTTGAAATTGATGAACATGGTGTGACCTACACCTGCCAGAGGCTACAGTGCACTGTGGAACCTCAACCACGCTGGCGACAATCAGCAACCATAGTTGATAGGGGTGGACACCAGCAGGTTGTGGTTTACGGGGGAAGGTCAACAAATGAAGTGTTTGGTGATCTATGGCTGATGGACGTGGAGAGCAAACAGTGGTCTGAAGTAAGTCTGTTAGCCCTGTTGAAAGATAGCAGGATGTGTATACAGGGGTCCTAAGTAGGAAGAAATCCCTTCCGGGAGATCTTGCTAAATGAGCTTTCTTAACATATTTAATTATAGAGTACTACAGTGTTACGTCACAATACCACATAATACTACTCCGTTGCTATCGTTGCAAAATACGTTCAACCGGATGCCATTTTCCCCTCTGACAAACCATTGATCCCAATTTCTAACGTAATTATTAAGATGTTGTATCTTAGTTTTTCTTTGTAAATTTAAATTGATGATTAAATGTTTGTTCGATAACTAATATAATGCATGCTTTTGTGTTTTTAGTACATTTTGATGGTAAAATATTAGATTTTAAAATGCCTATTCCAGAAAGCCTATGGAGTCATTAAGGCGTGATGAACGGTAACCAACGTTTTTGACAGCAGAAGGCGCCACCTGGCGTCGTGACGACACGACTGCGGTACTTTATATTTTGCTGCACGTGGTGATACTGATTGGCAATGACTTGAGTGAGACAGTTAATAATAATAGTAGTACTGTAAAAACATGCAAATATTATGAATATGTGGGAGATTCGTTGTTTTCCGGGAGATTCTTGCTTGCTTGCGGGAGTGTGGGAGGCTGTCTCTTTTCCGGGAGACTTTTGTCACCTGTGTATATTTGGTGATAGGGAGGTGTAGAAACCTCCCCGTGTCTGAGGGCAAGCACATAGGTCATTGCACATACATTGGCTTCCTGATAAAAAAACTATTGGTAAATGATTATTGTTGAACTGCAAGCAGTTATCACATGTACAGTGTGGTGTGGGTGTAGGCTGCTTGAAGTTGAAGGTCTGTATCCCTTATGATTCATTAGCTTGATTGCTTACCAGTCCAATTCTAATATCTGAAATTTGCTTTCTGTAGGTGGCTTTGGTCCAACCTGGCCCTACTCCAAGACACTCCCACTCGTGCTGTACCTGGGGCAGTAATGTCATACTAACTGGAGGATTAGATGATGATGCTAATACCATTGATGGCGTGATTATCATGGATACTGCTGATTGGTCCTGGCATACATTGAAGACGTCGCCAGATATTCAACCAAGGTATTTAAAATTCATCGGTTTCAAATACTGTGCACAAAAGAAAATGCTATGGTTATCCAGGTATACAATTACATGAACTGAATTTCATCATGACATTTTTCCTTATTAAATATCAGGTACTCGCATACCAGTCACGTTGTCAAGGATTTGTTGTTGCTAGTTGGTGGTTTGAGTTTATCTCCAGTTACTTTTGGTGTAACTTCAATCAGTCTCCTATCTGGCTCCGTCTGTAACTATTCATTAATGGTAAGCACCCAGTCCTTAAATATGTAAAAAGTTAATTTGACCAATAAGCAGAAATAACTTTAAAAAGTTGTAAACTGAGGTTGATACGTAAATATTGACATCTCAGATAAATTTTGAAGGTACACACTCTGTTTTGAGGTAATAACCCTGGTATTATATTATGTAATTGAAAATTAGACTCTTATTCACTTTTACTTTAATTTTTTCTTTTACAGGCTGAAAATCCTGAAAAACCTATAATGCTTTTCAAGATCTCAAGTGAGCTTTACGAGGAAGAACGCAAACTTGTAATATTAGGTGGCGGCGGAAATTGCTTCTCATTCGGTACTCACTTTAACTCAACGCCAATCTCTTTAGATATTAGCAAAGTGGGTGCTGACCATGAGTCTTGACTATTATTTAATACGGTAGTTCACAAAGATAAGCATGTAGATATATAATGTCTTGTAGCATTCCCATAGGATGTCTTGGCAGATGTTGGAGTTCAGGTCTTTAAGGCTCACCATCCATTTCACTGTCTAGCATGGTATACTTCTATCCCCATTTCTCTATAAGGGAGTGTGTAACTAACAATCTCTCCTTGGGTTGAAAGTTAAGTTCTATTCGTCTTCTTGCCAGCATTGACTCTCGAAAATAATTAAAAAGTAATTAAATCTACAAACTATCTGTATTTGAATTGATTTATTCTGAACCAAAATACTTTTGCTTCTACATTTAACCGAGACCATGCATTTAGGTATTTCATTAAACTGTACATATTTCATTATACAATCATCCTACATTACAGATCTCTGCACTCAACCAGAAAAAAACTTTCTTACACTTATTTTACATATACACCAGCTAAAAGGTCTGTTACTTCTTTAGAAAAATATTCACAGATTACTTTCGAACAAAAACTACGTTCAAAGACGAGACAAAGCTCGCTTAGACTCCCAGTGAAGAATCATTGCTTCTGTTCCCAATTATTCATAAAAGTGAAAAGTTACTCTTTACAGGTGAAAAACTTCCCACATTGTGAAGTAATGTATTAGGATTATTATATAGCGTGCTAATGTTAAGGTCACTTCAGCATTGGGAGTTACACTGTACATTGCTTTGGTTATATAATTTGAGATTTCTTGGGAAAAGCAAGCTGAATTCAACAAGTTTATAATTCTGACATACTTATTTTATACCCGCAAAATATTTACATATAGAGTCGGTTCTCATAATAAATTCTCTCAGCAGAAATACCATTTGAAAATTAATGAACCTATCAGTCCTGATGCCACCATACTATTATCCTCATTCTAAACCTCTGACCTCACTTCAGGAAGAGATCCAGCTAAGTATCTCGCTACTAAACTAACCATCACTGATTTGTGTAGTATTACCTTACAAATTTATGCCTATAGTATATTAAGCTCTGTCCAACTTATCAAGTTTAATGTAACAAATATGTGTTACTTGCCCATATATGGGCATGACTTCATGTCACAACCATATATGGGCATATCACAACAATATATGGGCATATCACAACCATATATGGGCATATCACAACCATATATGGGCATATCACAACCATATATGGGCATATCACAACAATATATGGGCATATCACAACCATATATGGGCATATCACAACCATATATGGGCATATCACAACCATATATGGGCATATCACAGGTATTGTTCACAGAAAAGTTGATAGTGTGGACAGTGTTAAATTCATTCGAGATGTAATTTAAACAAAGACAAATATTGTAATTCTCATTTCAATTGTGCAATACACACTCCATTGGAAATTGTAACTAACTCTGTAACAATGCTTCAATTTCAAAATTGTACACTTGTGAATCGACACCACACCTTGGGTAAAATTGGAAGAGATTATATGATTATAGTAGTATAGTACAATAATTTTATCTGATTTGAATTAGTCCCCCTACAGGAGAATAGCACCTTGTGTGGTGTCTTATTTTACACTTCTGAAAACTGTACTTAATACCTACAGCATTAATTTGAGGTGCAGCAATAAAAACAAATTCATATTTTGTTTGTAGTTTTTAATAAATAGCTATATTCATTACAACTGAATACAAGAAATGTTATATTTCATTAGCTATATGTTCAAAAATACATTAAAATTTTATAACATAAAAGAACACCACCAAAAGAACAAAATACTAATTTTCTTCGAACCAAATAATAAATCTAAGCAGGATAGAAATATATGTCAATACAAAACTAGTAATAAATGAATAACTAATAAATGCAATAGTACAGTTACATAATGTAATAAGCCAATTCATAGTTTAAAATGCGCACGCTTGTATTTAAGTTCAATTGACATAAACAACCATACACATAATATAGGTTTATGTTGATTGAACTTGGATACCACTAGATACACGCATGCGCATTTCAAACCACAAATTGGCTTATTATTTTGATACTCTGTGTAGTGTAATATTAAAAAGGACTTTGTATTAAATGTCAACGAGTTTTATGCTACTATACATAAATGATAATAATCCATAAAGAAAAAAAAAAACAATACAAAATGTAAACAGAAAGAAAGAAGGACCTCTTACATACAAATATCTCTCCATCATACATGTCTTCAAAAGTATTATTAGTGGTGAATACTCCACCCTCCAACATTCAGTAGTATGAAAACAACTGTCCATGTACTCATAAACCACTTTCTTTTGTTAAACTACTACTTGAAATAACTATGAAAAATTGTTAAAAACAAGTAGTATAATAGCAGGATAATAATTTGCAGTGCCAACACTACCATTTTACTTCATTACCATCATGTAAAATACACGTAGTGTCAACCATTAACTTTACAACCTAATCAACTGCATAAGATATTTCAATTAATTGGTTTCAACATTATAGATTACCAGCGAACCAAACAATTTCAGCTGAAAACACACCATGCACCATCAATGCTGTAGCCAGGATTTTCAAACTGTGTGGGACAATATGATGGTGGGCCCACTTTACGCGTTTCAAATAATGTGGACCAATTTTCTTTAAAATTTGACCCTTTTTACACAAAATATGAGAAATCTGGACCCATTTTCTTAAAACTTGACCCATTTCACACAAAATATGAGAAATCTGGACCCATTTTTAAAATGTGAACCCATGCTAATTAATGAAGAGTCTCACAGATCTCACAGAAGCCATTATAACATTGATGAACTGCATGTACAATAAAGATACTCCGAGGAGATGTACAAGGAATACAAACAAATAAACTGTAAATCAGTTGACAGTGAGAGAACAACTCTCTATTGTTATTGTGATAACAACATCTGTACCAACAAGAACTACCAAGAAAAATACTCTATCCCATTTCTGGTAATTTTTTTCACGTACACTTTGTACATAATTTCAGTTCATATTACAAGCCTATGTTACATTATATACCCAGCATTCCATGCAGCCAGAAAACCAACTCCTTTCAAATGTTTTTCAACGGTCTTCTTATAATACAGATTCCAATCACCTGGTTCCGATTTAACATATTCTTTGAAGTTCTCAATGTGCTTCCTTTGTACTGGAGTTTCATCCTTAAAGAATAGAAATACTCCAGTTTTACCCAAGTTACTGTTACATCAGCCTTGCTCTGGGTTTCAGAAATCTTTAATACAATGGAATCAAACAAAGAAGAGTCAATTTCCATTCAGTGTGTTATATTTAGATCCTTTATCAAAATGAAATAAATACAAGGAAATAAATTAACATCCTCTATTTAAGATATACAAGTTTTGGGAGGTAGATAATTAGGAAATGATTCTAGATAAAACCGAAAGGTCCACTGATTAAATAAAAGCAAAAAAACAAACCCAGAATAAATCGACAAACCTTATAATGCAATAAAAATTTCACTTTTATGCATCTTCAGCTTTATGACAATAAAGTTCCTTTAATGACTTCAGTTCCTCTATCAATGTCTTATTTTGGTTTTCCAACACGGCAACTCTACTTTCTAAACACTTTATGTACTCTTTTTTCTTCCGTCGACATTCTCTTGCCGCTTCCCTGCAAGAAAAACAAAATATGGTTTTAATATTTTACTGAGAAGAACCTTAAAGCTAAAAACCACAGCTGATAAACTAATTGGAATCAACAATTTGGGATCATAAATAATACATTGTAGGGAATAAAATTACAATTCATAAAAGTTAACTACTAGCTTGCAACTGGCAATGGAAGAAAATAAAGTTCATTAAAAAAATAAGAATTATTGAGGAAATTAAATTTTATACTGTAAATACTTAGATATAAGGAAGTAGATTTCTGAAAGTGGCCATGTATTAGGTTGTTTATATTAAACACAAGATTTAGAAATATTCTTTGAGTTGCACCCAAGAGATTATGGGGTTGGTTGGCTTAAGATTTACAACAGACAATATATAAGGGAATTAAATATATTATGGCACTTCCTGTACCTGTTATTCAGAAGCCTTTGTTGTCTCTTCCTAGAAGCAGCCTCTATAATATGCTGAGGGGTTGGTAGGGGCCCCTGGCCAGCCACACAAGTTACTACTCCCGATGGCAGGCTGGAAGCAGTGGCTGGCCGAATTTGGTACGCTTGGACATCCCCTGGAACGAACATAGAGAAAAGATTTTCAATTATTCAAATGACTTTGTTTTATGTACCTGTTTTTGTATAGTCTCAGCTCCCTCTTCCTGGAAGCCTCATCTGCCATGTTCTGCTGAGTAGCACTTATGTTAGCTTGGGTTGCCATAACAACACCTTGGGGTAAACTGGTTGCTGGCCTGATCTGGTAGGCTTGGACATCGCCTAATTAAATAGGGGTAAAATTTACAGCTGTTACTCTATCTGTATGGCTGACAACACAAACCATTATGTATGTTTTGTTTGTATACAGTATCAACCAACTAGGAAGTAGAGGTCTCCCTTTAATTAAAGATCCGTCTAATAAAACATATCACTTCTCTGTGGCATTAAAAACCCCTCTAAAAAAAGATCACCTCTGATTAAAGACAACTTCCAGGTTGCCCCTGGATTAATACTCTATCTTATTTATGATAATTATATTTTTCTAATTAGAGACCAATACTGCTAACGACCATGAAAACCCCAGTCCTTGAAGAGATCTCTAATTGGAGGGAGACCTGTTTAGGTTTAAAGAAAGCTGGCTAAAACATTCGGTGTTGCTGATATTAGGCAAGCAAGCTTAAAATCTGCTCCACATCTGTATTTACCATTTCACTGCAGTGAATTTAATATGAATTTGCTTATATACTGTGCAATGGTAATAAGGTTTTGTAATTAATCACCAGACAAAGCTATAAATCACCAGGAGGTTATTACTCTTCTTAGAAGAGTAGCAAAGTGCAGCTGCTTAAAACTGGTAGTAAACAACTGTGTATGCAATGAGCCATGGACACATCTGAGTCCAGGGTTCTATTACTCTCCCTGTGAACATATTGTACCTGTAGGTAAGGAAGTGATCATCAGAGAAGAGAGCAGAAGAAAAACTCAAGTTGTTTTATTTATCAAAATGGTTATGTCAAAATCATCTAAGTGGCGGAAAAGCAAATAAAAAAAATGGGAGTCTGTGAGGTAATTGAAGTAATAGAGAGCACACTTGGCCCACTTTCGATATTTATATTCAGTGGCTGCAAAAATAGCTATACACAGTACAGTAATTGGACTAATGTTTTATATTTATTAAATTGTGTGAGTAAAAAATATAGATTTCTTTTGGGAAGGTTTCAATTCAGCAGAGGGTATAATAAAAATACATAAAAATATATATTTATCTGAAATTTTCTTTTTTTTTATTTTGCATATTTTTTATAGACCAAAAATAAAATTATCAGTATTTTGTTAAGTGCCAGGAAAAAAAGGAAGAAAGTTGGCATATCTGTCCCATACTATCTCATTTGAGGATCACTAAAGTATCAACTGAGAGATCCTAGTATAGTTTCAAATAGAAGGTGGAAATGAAGTTGTTCTATATTTACCTGTAGCGGTTGGAACAAAAAACTGCTGTCCATCTTGCGTTTGTATGGATTGAACTATTGTTCCTGCGGGGGTTCCATTCGCATTCGTCATCGTCAAAGTCTGTAAACCCTGCATATTTTCCGGATGGTTTGCAATCTGAATTGTGGTGACTCCAGACACTGAAACAGAAAATTTGTTGTCATGTTAAAACCACTTAATAGGAATGACCTTCGAGTGGTGAAATAGATAGTTCGTGTTTCCTGCCCACAAAACTTGTGAAAACTGTCATAAAGCTAGAGGTTGTACCAGCAAACTATTAAGCCAAAAAAACAACCACATGACTTGCCCAAGTTGTGTTACTAACCAAGAAGAGCACAACCTCTATGATGTTTTAAATGCTACTTTTCAATAAATTTGCTTCCCTAACTTTAGACCTGTAGTATGAGTGAAGGTTTGCAATAATCAGAATTAGGTCTAGATCTCTATAAAGAATAAAACTGCCTACCAACCAACTCAGACTATTGTAACTTTCACTTTTTTTCCAATTTTTAAGATGCCGCCAATAAGATTTATACATTTTTAATATAACACTTAAAAGAAGTTTTTGGTAAAATAGATATGGCGTCATCTTCTGCCATGATTTTTTGTTGACTTGCATATAAAACATTCATACTTTTATGCCACATCTGGGGTGGATGCAGGATTCGGCAGTAGAGGGTGTGTGTGTGTGTCACACTACCTTTAGCCCAACCATGGTCGGGACTGAGGTGCCAAAATTTAGAGAATATGGACCTCTAGGTGTCCGGAAATTGAACTCTCATACTTTTAAAGAATACCAGTACTATTGTTCATAATAATAAAAATTATATAAACAATACAATACAGCAATTATTTTTCTTAATACAATTTAGGGGGGTGCGATCGAACTGTCTGCACGCCCTCTGCATCTGCACCAGCACATTATATAAGCAACAAGTGGCTGATATGTAGCTCATAGCCTCATTAGATTTCGGTGTTTTGTTAATACAGTAGTTCAAACTAGCTGAATAACAATCAGTAAAACAATACTAACATAAAAAAATTATTGACATTTAAATTATATTGGTGTTTATTAAGGTGTGCTCATGATTCCAGACCAAACAAAGCTCAATGGGTAGAACAATATAGGAAACATTTTTAAAAACAGCATAGAAAATGGAAAAATTAGTCTGTAAAATAAAAAAATGCTTAAGAAAAACAGCAATGAAAAAGCAACAACAGATCACAAGACAGGAAAACAGCAGGAAAAAAAAATATGTAGAAGTTATTATAGGGCAAAATAGGAAAAAATTTTACCTGCAGGGAAGTTTTGTAATGATGCTGCCGTAAGCGTAGCAGACTCTGTATCCTCAGGTTCTTCTTCTATCTTAGCAACACCTGGAGCATCCGAAGACAGATCATTCAAAATTTTCCTACAAAAAGATTTGAATGCTTAATATGAGGTATCAATTTACACAATTTGATAATGACTAAATAACAGGCAGGATTCTTAGTCTTACTTCAAAGAATGATGTCAGTTTTTAGTAACCATTTACAAAGGAAACCTTTTTTTCTACCACAGAAAATTATGCAAAACAAATTCAAAACTATTTTATTATGTTAAGAATAACTAGTGTTAAGAATAAATGATGTATGAATTGTGCAATTAAAAAAAAAACTAATTCAGTACTTCATCCACACATCTTTTTCCTGACATTATCAGTAAGATTCACATACCTATTGTTTCAATTTGCCTTAACCTTTGCAGCTTTCAAAATATTAAAGACGACATTCAGTCATAAAGGCTAATTACTGTTTGTGGAATTCAATAGAATTGATATCTGCTTTATCGTTTGTTTTGAGAAAAAAAAAGAAAATAATGTGATTTATGAATCTAAAGTAACTACATCATCCACACATGTTTTTCTCCTGATACTATCAAATGGGTAAAATTAATGTTTCATTTTTTAATGAATATCCTCAAGATATAGTATATCCATAACTTATGCTTACTATAGCATGATTGATAGTTGTAATTCATTTACAGTCTTCTCCATCAGAAGCCATATTCCGTCATAAAGTACAATTTGTACGTAACATTCCCTTGAAAGAATGAAGTTGACCTTGTAACAAGTTATATTAAAATAACTTGCAACTCAAATACTGAATGTTTTTTCAGAAGCTTGAATAGGAAAGAGTTGTGAGATTTTGCTCTCCTTAAGAAGTATGTATGATGGCAATGTGAAACCGCCTCCGCTCTGTGGTGAGCACTGGTGGTCATGTGGCTTATTACACTTTAGTGCATGGACCAGTACACACACATCCTCTTCTATCAATCACTTATCTATATATTTCTTCCTACTCCCTACCAACTCTAAAGCCGGCATTAAGATTGTTGTTGGTCAAACTGGACAAATATATGGCTAAATATGGTCATTATGACATCACGCGATGACCATATATATGCACATGATTGACTTTATATGTGCATACAATTGTTTGTTGTCATATAAAATTTAATAGACTGGACAAGTCTTGATTATTAGACGCTGAACCTTTTCTGTATTCCAATAGACAAGAACACAATTTATTTGATCAGATGTCTCCGAATCATTATTTTATTACACAAATCTTTTAACACCTTGCCTGTTGCATTCCAACAAACATCTGATAGCTTATGACTCGGTTTAGAGAATATTGGAGAGGAAATAGATCCTAAGTGTCTTCACAGTCCAAATAACTTTTTGACAGTGTATCCTCTTCGTTCAAGCTAAAATGTGCTAGTTATACTAAATGTGTGTAACCCTAAAAAAAAACTATCCTAATGGACATTATTTTTGAGGGTGTGTACCACTGCATCATAGCTCAGTAGATAGAGTTTTCAAACCATAAACTTTGGTTCAAATCCTGGAGACCATATTTTCTTTTGAAGATTAACCATGAATTATTTAATAGGAATGCAAATCTTTTTATTATAGAAAATATCAACCAACTTCATTTGTCCTAAAGACTTAAGTAGTTTCAAGTATTCCTACAAATTCTTGACAAGAAAAATGTTTCTTGTTACTGTAATGTACAATTGCAGATTGAAACACTGTCCAAGCCATGAGCAATGTGGCCATCTTAGAATTATACTGCTAATGGTTAAAGGTTGTAGCCTAACTGCATTTCACTTTTATGCTTTATACATTCATATCTTACCTGTAAGATGGTCGTCGAGACAGTATTTCTTGTCGTTTTCGCCTTTCTACATCTGAGTGAACACCACCACCTTCCTCCTCTACTTGCGCAACCTGAACATACAAGAGAAACAAAAACTGGTCATTTTACTGTATTAGCCAATTCCCCATCCATGCAACACAAAGATAATGTTTGTCAAGCCGTACATCTTAGACCAAATATTCAGGAAATTTAAGGGCAAGGCAAAGAGAATACAGAGGCACTAATGAATACCCAGAAACAGTCGGACAATCCCTAGTGGCTTTCCATTTATAGGATGCCCTGTTCATTAAAAGTTACTTAAAAGTCCTTTTAACATATCAAAATAATAAGAAAAAGTATATTTATATACCAAAGTGGTATGTGAATCACATATTCTACACCATTCCATGCCTCTATAATATTTATTTAATGAGAAATACAAACTGAATAGTAGACAAATTAGAGATTAATATCACAATTAATAATTTTATATTTTATATCAATAATTTTTATACAAATAAATATTATAAACACACAATGTAATCTAAACATAATATACATGTCATAAATAGGTTTGTGGTATGCGGCATAAGATACAGTAGTTTTGAAAAGAACTGTTTATATTGTACATACAAGACACAAATCGGCGCACTGTATTGACATACACCAATCAAAAGAAGAAGTATAATTATTTCCTCATTATATCATGTTCACTTTGAAAATATCATCAATTATCTAAAATCAAACACTTTAATTTCAAGATAAAAATACAACAATATAAATAACATTCAATTATGTCTTGCACTCAAAAAGAAAAAAAACAATCCATTTATTACTCAAATAACATTAGGATATGACATGCATAAGTTTTTCCCCTGTAAAACTTGTTTATCACATCCGTCCGTGTAAAAATAGTGTGGTTAACTCTGAGAGCTTGCTTTACACACAGTAGAAGGTTCTTCTTCGCTTCAGGTGGTGATGATATCAAACAAAATATGCTTGCCATGTGCTTGTGAAACAAGAATCTGAATACAAAAAATCAGATTGAAAAAAAGCCCCTTACAAATAAAAAACTCAGAAAACCACACGAGTTTAAAATAAAATACACTTTAAACACGTATTAGTTTGCATGAGTTCAACTACCTAATCTGTAAGTTATTAACATTAATTGTAGATACCATCATTAAAAATCATTTAGTTGAATCAATTGTTTTAGTACTGCAATCAGTGCAATAAATAGCAGAATAAACTAGTTTAGGATGTACAGTATGTATGACAAAGAATGGTATGATTTGAAGGTTCTGACAAAGCCAAACAAAATCAGAAGTTGTCCAGGAAATGACTGGTCTTGGTGACAAAGTGACTCATAAGGCACAGACCTATGAACCAGGCAGTATGTTTTACTATAGCAGTATGACCTGCAGAAGAAAAGGAATATGTTCATATATGGGTTTAGGGTTTAAATAAAGATGCCACTTATCTGAGAGGAACACTATCATTCTTAGGCTAATAAAAAGAATATACTGTAGGCTATTATAAAATTCAATAGTTTTATTGCTTTACATTGTATTAGTTAGTTATGAACTTTTAATTAGAAATCATGTCAAAAATCTTGTCATTTAATATATGCAATCATATTATATAATATAATTTGTATATTTTTTGTATATCTATTCAATTTATGGATGCTTATAAGTCTGTAAATTACCAACTACTACTGATTGAAACTGTCTCTTGTTTTGAATTTGAAAACTTCTATGATCACTTCAAAAAGAGCACTTTAATCATTTCATTGGACTTAGTTTTCGAAAAGTTTGATTCTTTATATTTAATAAAAAAGGAAGTACTTCTACTTTTACACTGTATTCAAGTGTAAACTGTGGCTTCAGATTAATCAAATTCTTTGGCACATTATAAATGTATGATTTATCACCATTATGGTTAAGAATATATAAGTAGGCCCCTAATACAGTATGTATATGTTAATGTACCAAATAGTTATGAAGAAGACAATATATTTGTTTTAAAATGTAGTATTTTTTATTCAAATACTGTTATCTATATTTTTTATTAAAAAAAAAAAAATAGAACATTCCCAATCATATGCTTTCTAAACCAAAGATGACTGCAAAGGTGATTATCTTGTTTTTAATACATAAAAATATCGGATAAAGAATAATGAAATTCCTATATTTCATGATCTGTGCTATAAAAAACCTTTGAAGGCATTTCCAAATTATGCAACATTGTGCTATGACAGCATTAATTACCATCGGACGTAAGCAGATATAATGTCTAGTATTATAAATGGATGAAAATGGAGAAGGGGATGGGTATATCTGACCTTGCTTATTATTCTCATCTGAAATCATCTAGTATAAATCTTCAATTTATATCTACTATATTTATTAACCATTTGCTTTAATTCCACTTCCTGGTTCCTAAGACTTGAATTTCATGTGTGCATTTCTTTATCAATTTCACAAGCCAGTAAATTGGACAAGAATCAGTGAATTAAATTCAACAATCTGCTTGAATCCAACTATTGATCTGGTAGTAAATTGTTTACTGTACAACTTTTGGGAATTTTTGTTAGAGCTGATATTCATGGTTTACTTTTTAAGCCTAATATTTTAAATCATGTTTCTGGAAATGTATAAACTTGCTAACTGTAAGTTATTTTTTTAAATTTTATTCCTTTTTTTTAATGATCTAATATAAGAAAGGCTTGATGTTTTTACCTGAACTTGAACTGTAGGAAGTGGTGTGGCCTGTATTACTGAGGGTTGATTGCCCTGTTGCAAAACCGATTGAACTTGCACCGAAGCATTGGGTATGGACGACATAACCACAGATACTGGCACTGCTTGAGTTACTGTATTGATCCTCTAATCACAGGAGATATAAATGTATTTATGTTTATATGTATGTGCAGAAAATTTTATGTACAATATAGTTATATTATGTTACAATCAATAAATTTATCTTGTATCTATTATAAAAGAAAACCAACCACTCAAACTGATGAAGACGTAATGTTGCACTTGGGTTTTTTAAAATATTTTCTCAAAAAGGCTTTAAAACACCTCAATCTACAACTGGTTACATAACCGTCACATACAAAACATGGCAGTTGTTAGTAATTATTTTATGTACTATATTGACTTATATAGATATTGATGTCAGTTTTTTCCTGTGCACAACTCTTACAAGTCCTGCTGATGATACTTCAAAGGGATCTCCATTACATTAATTCTAGATTAATTTGTTAGAGGAGCTATACTTCTGTAATTCAAACACCCTAAAGTGATAATTAACATCAAATGTGATTGTGAGGATATACATACAGTAGTTTTTTCCATACACTCCAAGTAAATAATGTAGTAAATAGGGGTCTATCAAGGACAAAGTACAGGAATACTTTAATAAATAACTAAAAATATTTTCTCTCTCTCATCACATATAAAAATATGTTAATGTGTAACGCTGAGTACTGTAAGATAATGATAATTGCCAATACCAGTAATTTTGTCTTCACAACTAAAATTCCACTACATTTGACTGGGATTTTTTTTTTTGGTGAGAATTACAGCAAAGTTAACCGAAATTATCCAAATTGCACACAAACCCTATGGCCTAGGGATCTATTACAGGTATTTTCAAATCATTTTCGTAAGAGACCAAACATAATTATTTAATTATTGTTGAGGGAGAAGATCAAGTATGCCTATGTGTACTGCCCTTGTGCAGATATACTCTATGTTGTGGTACAGTAGTTAAATTTTTCTGTAAAATGGAATACGAATGTTAAGGTTCGGTTCATTTCAGTTGACAGCAACTTGTCTGACAATGAACTACTTTATGTTTAGAGTAAGTCTGACCTAGTTTCTGCTGTATACTCATACTGTACTCCTATCAAAACTCCTATTAAAACGATTAATGATGATTTTAAAATGACAACAATCACAGGGATGTAGTTATGTTGGGCGGAGCGGAGGTGGGCGGTGCCACCCAGCCTGGAACTTTTCCACCCAGTTTAAAGCTATTAACCCACTTTTCCATTCTTACAATCCACTCTTGTTATTAATTGTTTATTAGTGTTATCACCTACCCACCCTCCAAAATGTCTATCACCTACCCTTAGTTTTCTATAGCTACAACCCTGAACAATCATCACTTTATTGTGTGCTCTTTCAGTTTCAGGGCGAGGGATGGATAACAAAAAAAGAGTACAGTATATTAAGTTTTTGTTGACCTCTTACACAACTGAGTAAAGCCACTCTTCAAAAGCCTCATAGTCATTACGAGATTTTGATTGTATACTTCCATTATGAAAGTGACAAGTTAATTGATGTAGATAATGAAAAAAGAGCTAAGTACTGTAACTGAATTTTTAATGTTAATTACACAATTTTTGTTGATCATATTTTTTTGTCTCATGAAAAATTATTCTCTGATATGATATAATCTAGCTAAATATATAACAGATACCTTGAGTACAATTGGGTGGAAGCACTGTATTTGTATTCAATTTTTCTAAACCTAAATAAGTAGAACTCAGCAGTTCAGGTACTAAACAAGTTGAGAACTAAAGTATTTAGGTACTGTGCACTGTAGGAAAATTGCAAAAATATTGTTTGTCATGTATTCATGCATGTGTATGTGATTAACCACTACAGTCCTGTTATTCAAACTATGGATCATCGCTTAGTTTGGGTTTGCAAAAGAAATAGCTGAGGCAGTCAGCACATAGATGCTTTTGCACATAGATTTTTAATGGAATAATAGACCTTTCCGCTAAGCCCCGCCCATTGGATATTGTTGCTAAATTCCCACAAGATGGCAGTGTAAAAACATATGCAAACACATACGTTTGTGGGTCAACACATGCATTTGTTGGACACGCGCGTATTCCTGGCACTGTTCTGATTGGTCATTGTTTAGTTTAATTGACACCCGGAAAAGGTCCATTGTTATTGTTCTTCAGTAGAGCCAACTCTACAGCTGATTGGGTGTAACCACTGATCTCTACTAGGCCACAGGTGACGTATCAGTTTAAACTTCTAAGTTTCTTTTGGCATTTGTTTAAATTGTTAAAAATAACGATTCTTGCAGAGCTCTTTAATAATAAATTTAAATTTAATGTAATGAAAATGAAAAAAAAAAAAAAAACCAATAAAAAAAAACATGGCATTATTCACCTCACTTTTTTCTTTACAAGAATTGGCCGATGAGCAATCCAGCTATTAGTAGAGATAAGTTGGTGTAACTTGTAGTCATTAATTTAAAATGCCTACCACGCACCTCACAATGGAGGCTGACCTGCGTTAAAGATAAAGTTATATATGTGTGCCTATGGAAAATTCATGAAGCAATGACAATGAGAGGCTAACATTCTTCAGTTAGTTTATAATAGTGTTTTGGGACAAGACAACGATTCAAAATGGCATCTTCGAAAGCGTATAAAAGTAATGTTCTATTGTTGATAGAAATTTGAATTTTCACAAGTTGGGAGAACGCACTAGAGTGATCTGGTTTCTTTAGCATCTTCTTGTATTTTTCTATTAACTCATTATGGTTTGATATGGAGTATGTTCTTAAGCATACAAAACTGTATAATAATACTATTATACTATATAATGTAGAAAATAAGACCTAAACTAATAAAACATGAGAAATAGAGGCAGGAGCTAATGGACATTAGATACAAGTTCTCACTAGAACCTGGGGTTGTATTTTAAGAACTTCCATACCAGCAGAATAAACAAAAGATGAAATAAATAATGACACTGATGTGTCTAATGCACACTACAGTATACAAATACAGATTACTAATTTGAACATGCAAGTTTAAAAAAAAACAAAAGTATGAACCTTCATAACCAAAGAAAAAAAAGTATATCTGCATAAAAACAGTTTTAGTTTCTGTCTGTTGCTTAGTGGACTCTCATACCAAAAATAAATTTAACAGGCAATTGTTCACTATATTCTTGATGGTCTGTATATTCATTCGGTAACAAATGGTGATACAAACCTGTAGGCCAGTTGGAACCTCAGATTCTTGGCTCCTATGTACCGTTTCAGCCTCGGTCTTTGTTTCCATATTTACAAATAATTTTCTTTACCTGCGAAAAAATTCCAAACAAAAAAATCTAAAGATTTTCACAATCATATGAACAAAAATCTTGGTTTCATAATTCAGTTGGTAAAGAAACTAAAAATTCAATGTATTGATTTGGAATCCTGATTGCAAAAATTTTTTTTTTCTACTAACATTTATATTATCTCCACAAAATCCATACCTGTATATAAACTCTTTTCTTCTAAGATTTAAGAATAGTAATTAGTATAACAAATTTCAGTTGGTACAGCAATATTATTAGTAATTATTTTTTAAAAATAACAATGACAATAACAATGTAAAACAGCACACATTGCAGGGCCTTCATGCACTTTCCATTACCACCTCAAATACCAAATGACCAGGGAAACAAAAGCAACAAAAGTGACAAAGAAGGTACAGGTATTTGCAGTATTAATCCGGAAATAAAATTCAATCGCACTGTAAATACAAATGCTACTGTACCATGGCTCCTGGATTTGCTACGGTTGGCCAGTGACACTGACAGCGAGCTATTCCAAACTGCTTTACTAGAATTTTGTGCATGAATATCATCATTAATTGATTCAACGTCTAGAGAAAAGATGCATAACATGCACTGATGGATTTCTTTTAATTATCTTTTAAGATGGGGTGCCTTCCCACATTACAAATTACTCGTTTGAATACAAAATGAGCCACATGGAAACTAACCAGTTAAGTAGGATAGGCTAGACGCAGGGACAATATGTATTTTTCATATAAATTATATAATATAGAAATCAATAATACGATATACTGTAGAGAAACTCTAAATAGTGTTGCAGCAATGCTATTTATATAGACTGTAAATTTTTTGAATGTTAAAGAAGAGGAATCTGAAAGTACTAAATGAAAAAAAAAAGTTTCCCCAATCTGGGATTCAAACTCAGGAACTACTGCTGTCTATGCAGCTGTCTTAATTGACTGGGCCACTGAGGCTTCATTGGGTATCCAAATCCGATTAAAAGCAGCTAATACACACTCTTGTGCATGTGTGGTTGGACAGCAACTAGTCCTAGTCCATAAATATATTTGTCAATGAAAATAAATGCAAACGCACACCCTATAGATCTACTGCAGATTATATACAATTCTATTTCATACTGATGAATCATGAATCTCAATTAACCATCAGTATGAAATAGGTAACAGTTTGGAAAAAAATTGTATATTCAAATGATGATTGTATTTTAAATGATTCATATTTTATATTAAATGATTCATGATCTGCTTATTTCCAAAATTCCATTTTCATGGAAAAACTCACTGTGTACATGTTTATGTACTACTATTATTAATATGGTCTGATGTTTATAAATTATATAAATTACGCACTTCCCCATGTTTTACATCCAGGTTTTTTTTTAAATGACAAGGCAATGAGGCCCCCTGTGTTGCCATTTACACTCACTTGTGCTGTATGGTCATATAATTACATTATGTTTATGTAAAAATAATTAAAGCTTTTTAATATTCATTTTAATGTCATGTTTGTTTTTGCAAATATTAAAATGCTTTTCATACCATTTTGTATTTTGATTACTGTATTTCCTCGCATTCATTATGATCATGAATACAGTAACTAAAATTGACAATCCTAATTTTACTGCCCCTGGGGTCTTAAATTTATGATAGTAGAGATTACATGTTGTCCCACAACCCACCATGGTATGTAGCCAATTACTCTACATGATATGCAGGCTCTGAGATCTGCTGAGGATCTGGTGACCAACAGCAGACAAGCTAAATATAGTCTGGTAAACAATCAATTTGATCTGCTCATGCAAAATAAATAGCATTTTATTGTTGTATACAAATGGTTAATGCTTAACACAGAATGCATTTTAAGCAATTGCTTTATTTAAACCAGTGGTGCTTGCAGTGGGGGTCTGGGCCCCATGAGATACAGGGTCATAGCTGTAAAAAACTAAGGATAGGTGGTAGACATTGTAAGGGTGGTTGGGCAACAACATTGGAAAATTCTAATTAATAAGAGTGGATTTTAAGGAAGGGCAAGTGGGTTAATGAAGGTGGGTGGAGGGCCATGAAATTAGCTTTAGACTGGTTGGAAAACTTCACTACTATAGTACATTTCTGGAGATTAAGTACAACACAAATTCGCCAGGAAAAGAAAAAAAAAACCTTCCTATGTAATTTTTACAGACTATGATGAGACTTTATGATCAATAAAAAAAAAATCAAAAAAAAAAATCAAATCAAATCCCTAAATTGTCAGAGCTTCAAAGGGCGGGGGAAATCCTGGCAACATCATTCACTACTTTTAACATTCCCGATTGCTTCTGAATTTTGTATAACCCATATTAACACATTAGTGTGTCTCCAAATGTTTTGATTGTGATTTTTAATAATTATCTAATTATGTTTTACTGCAAACCAAGTTTTCCAATTGTGTCAATCAGTATTAAACTTGTATGACAGCAAGTTCGAAAATATGTTTAAGTCATCATCACAAATCATATGGTACAGTATGTCTGTTACTATAATTAGCTTCTTCTATTCACATCCACTTAAATAATTCTTTGTTTGTCTGGCAATTTAATAATACCATGTCTTATCATCGGCTTTAAAAATAATCAGCAAGAAATACTAAGAATATAGTTGTTCTTCATTATAATCTGATACATTTTATTCACATAAACAAGAGTGAATGTCCATAGAGACCAATTAGAAACCAATCTACATTTTATAACCACAGTCCCTGAGGATTTTACCCGACTGCTTTTCAACATTGTGGAAAGGTCAAAGGGTAAAGTATGACGTAGGTAAAACATGATTAGAAAGGCCAATGGTCAGCCAATACAAGACATGTTATCAACTTGCTTATTATGAGGGAACATAAAAATTAACAAATGCATTTACGTCAGACATTAATTTGGAAGTAACAGCAATGTCATTTGAAGGAATTCTACATGCATGGTATGCAAAAAAAACTTTTTGAAAATCCATTCTACCCATCAATTTTTTCCCCAATAACCCACACTCAAACACTGGGGTACAGTGCATCGGTATATTTCCAGCACAACTGAGTATCAAAAATTCCTTATTAATGATTATAATTATTTTTATATTTCTTTTTTCCAAAAACATTACAACAGTTAAAAACACTCGTAGTCATACTGTACTGTAGATACAACAGTTTACTACAGTATTATCATGTTCTATAGTTTTACAGTAAGTTGACCCACTACATTTAACAAAGCCGAAAAAATGTCTAACTAGAAGTTGAACAGAGAGCAGACCTTAGCTCAGTTGGCTAAACTGGTTGTAGTCACTGTGTGTGCGCTGAACCAGAGATCTCATAGGTCCGTGGTTTTATTCTGTAAGCTGTGTGCATTTATAGACTACAAAGAACAATAATTTCCTACCCACCTACTTATTTTTTGGATTTTCCCAAAATGTGGCCAATACAAAGTTTTTTGGTTTTTTTTGCCTAATCGTTTAATACAGTAGTATGCTACAGTATCTTCTTTCTCACCAGCACTAAGAATAAAAACTGCCTTCCCGAACTACTGCTAAGTCTACTAATTAATATAGGAAGAACGGTGTAGTTTCGTCCCCAAGTCGATTTGCCCCGGATTTTTTTCGGCCCAGAGTCATTTCAGCCTTGTAGTTTTGGTCCGGGTTGTTTTGGCTCTGAGTTGTTTTGTATCGTCGACATTATTTTCTGTAAATAAGATCTATTTACGTGTAATAGTTTCCGACATATTGTTTTTGTTATTTTTTCTTCTACTATATAGTCTTTATTTTATTTTTTAAATTGATAAAATGAAGACTTCTTTTTCATACACTAAAATGCTGATACACATATAGTACTGTAGGATCATTCCTATTTAGAGAAATAAAGCAAATAAAAAGTATCGTTTTTTGTATATTTTTTTTTTATGAGATGAAATTGATCTTTTTTACAATAATTGTACAATGTACTAAAAAATGCTGACATACATTTTACAGTTAAACTTGCCTAAAACCGGTTTTCCACTAGGATAATTAATTCGCGCAAATCGGAAGCGTCAGTTCATGCGCATGCGTGTTCACATTTCTATCGGAGTTTTTGCGAAGCGAAAAAATGCGCAACCAATCTGAGCTCCGGAAGCGAACCGACACTTTGATTCGCGCGAATAAATTCGCCTAGTGGAAAACCAGCTTTAGTTGACCTTGCCTAACTCGAATAATTTTACATGCCAAACTGTTGTGTTTTTCATTAATTAACAATCTGTAAGTCGAATTTTATTTTTCAGTGGCATTTTGGATTCGACTTGGGCAAGTTCAACTGTACATTTATTTGATCAGTCCTATAAAAAAAAAATACAGCAAATAACACAAATATTAATTATTATTGGCACGATTTGGTCTACTTTCCTAACCATGTTGCTTACAGTAGGCCTTTCCATTTTTCTATCTTGACCCAAATCGTTTCGGCACCAAAAGTCTGAAACGACCTGGATTCGGAATACCATTTTGGATAGTAAACGCAAATAAAAATCAATCCAATTGTGTACGAGTCAGTTAGCCAAACAACAGGGTACAAGTTGATAGTAGGAGTTGGGAAGTAGGCCTAAAAATTAGAGGCCAGGGGCCAGCAGAGAGTTGGAACCTGACTGAACCTGAAGTGGTTTCTTCTTGAACCTTGGCAATGCCTTGCTGTGTGTGCCCTAAAGTTGCCTGTTGCAATGTTGGGTCTTACAATCTAGGCCTAGGCCTGCTAGGCAAAATGCCCTTAGGCTAAGAAGCCTCCCTTATAGGCTAGGGCCTAGGCCAGGTCTAGGCCTAGGCCCGATTCCGGAGCATCATGATTTCTTTAAAAAAAAAACCAAATCTCTTCATTAATATAATAAGATGGGCCTGTCTTAGGCCTAAGTAAGGTCCCTGTCTGAAGTCTTATCTCGGTCATTGTGTCGGTCTCCATTTGGTGAGAGGAGACGGAGGAAAAAATGTTGAACGTGTGGAAATCTGCAACTCTCGATTTGCCTTTTTTTAAGGTCAAATCTGAAAAGCGGAAGGGGACAGAAATGGCGAATACACGCGCTGGATAGGCAAAAAATTGCAGTGGTGGGGTATAGTGTTCCTCCTAAAAACACTTCCTTCGGGAATTAAAAACTCCAATGTATACCCATGTGTTGTGCTGGGCTTAACGACAACAAGAATCGCGAATTTATGTTTTGATGCGCTGATGAACAACTTACCAGTTACGTATTTTCTCGTCACAGCTGTTCAGCGATCGGAGTGGCCACCTTCTTTACTACGTAGCACAACGTCAAAGTACACGAATATCGTCACAGCTTACAAACAACAAGGACCTTATCGCTATCATCTTCTTGATGCTATTCTTCCGCCTACGTGGCAATCGTTATCAAGTGCCAAAGTTTGCTTGGATTGTGAACGTCACATGGTACAGAGTCGAGTGGTGACGTCATTTGAATCAACAACCATTGGCTGATCATTATAAAAAATATGCCGGGACTACGTCATAAGCACCAAGTTATCAGCAATAAATTTGACATAATACATTAAAATCAAACTGTATCTGAACATATTTAAAGATTAGTATTTATGTTGCTATAAAGAATAAATCATTTCTATGGGATTATATGTATTTGCATAATTTACAGATCTAACTTAGGCGGCGCAAAGGACGCGAAGAGTAAATCGTCAATTGCTACGTAATCAGAAAATACGCCCTCTAAATTATATGGACTGGATAATTAAAACGGAATTTTAGTTTAAAAAAAAATAGGTAATCTAATCGTTTAATCAAAGAATACATAGTAAAGTAGATGGACATTAGATGAAATAACCACATCTTCTCAAAATAACTTTTCAAAAAATAATATTAATTTTTATAATATTGGAAAATTAAGTCTATCGAGATCAAATCCCGGATCAAATGAGCCAGAATGTTAACAGGATTCATAATCGACACTGCACACATCACAGTGTTCGGCGAAGCGACCTACATTTCTCAAACCTGGAAATGAATTGCTGCATTATTCAATAAATTACATTACTTTGTGCGATGCCCTAGCGCGATACTCAATGGGTCCGTGAAAGGGAGATGATACGTTTTTCCTGCATAGGGGGACATGGTGGTGACGCATCATGGGAATTGAAAAGTAATCAACCAAAAAAGGCCATGAATAATATTACATAGCTAATTATAATATCAAATAATAATAAATAATAATAATAATATAAATAATAATAAAAATAATAATAATAATAACAAAATAATAACAACAATAATAACAATAATAATAACAACAACAATAATAATAATAATAATAATAATAATAATAATAATATTATTATTATTATTAATAATAATAATACCGGTATGTTTTCCCGCGTGTCATCCGGCGTCCTACAAGGCTCTAGTATATACTGGGACCGCCTAATTATTTAAATACCGTATGTATTTTAATAAACACCCTCTCGAATAAACTCAACCTCCAGAGCCTCATTTGGAATGAAGGCCTCGCTCGAATAAACGCTCCTTAAATGACTGAACAAAACTAATGGAAGCAATATCATTCTCAACACATTCTATTCATGTTCTACCGTACTCGTGAATAAGCGCCCCCTCATAAGATTTTCTTATTAGCAAGTCAATAATCCAATCAATCCTGGGATTGTGGTTGTTGGCATGATTTGAGCTGTAGAGTGAAAACACGATTCTTCTTCGGTCAATATCAAAATTAGGATAGGCCTATTTCTCTTGGACATATGAGAGCAAACGATTCCTGGACAGACAGTATATTTCCAACTTTACTCTTTTTATATATTTGTCTATGCCTATTCCTAATCCTCTTTTTCTTTTCTCGACCTTTAGCACATTCTTATCTGAGTTTTCAAGAAAAAATACAATGATCCTGCCATCCTGCTAATCTCAATCGGCCGATGGCCAACAAACTAACCACTACTTACCACCATTAATTGCATCTGCTATTTTGCTGTTATGTAAATATTCACGCATTCTTGTCATAGGCCACGTTCTCTGGCGATTATCTTTTCTAACCACCTTTCGTAATGTCCTTATATAATCTTTCTTCATTCAAAAAGTGCCTCTTGAATTTAATAATTTCCATAAGAAGCCCTCGATTTTCATCTATTTCCATAAGCGCCCCCTCAATTTCCACTCTGTTTTCATAAGCGCCCCGTTTGAATAAGCGCCCCTCAGAAAGTGCAAAAAAATATTTTAAGCGCCCGGGCGCTTATTCGCGCGAGTACGGTATTTCATTTTTTTTAATAATTTGGTTGGGATCAGTAAGTCTTCATAGTCACAATAACACATTTTGACGGTAGGCTAATTATGTGTTGTAGTTCCATATATTGTGAGCAAATACGTATCCATTTTACACCAACAAAAACAATATATAAAAATAACAATAAACGCCTCCCTCGAATAAACGCACCCATCAAAGACCCTTCTCAACTCCCTGCGGCATTCATTTGAATAAATACGGTATACACGTTTTAAATTATTTTAATGTTGATAATTGTATTTGTAGTTGTTCACTTTATTGTAGACAATAGCGGTTCCAGAGGTGTCCGAAAGTGGGACACCGAAAAAAAAAAGGGGTGAGGTCACGATCGAGAGACAACACTACCTTATGGGTTCCGGGAAATGTTTGTTTCCTAGAAGCACGGAAAAAACCACCGAGGCCGCGTTTTTGGGCGATCAATAATTTCATTTTCTTTCCTTTTGTTATCCACTTTCCAAATGGGATGGGCCGCCTCGACCCCACACCTACACCGGCCTCTGGTAGATGTATTAATTGTAGAATTTAATTTTTTTTTTTTTTGTATATTTGTCTTTGTAATTTTCTTGTATAATAGTATTTAATAATATTTTGTTTATAGGGTTTTGTATAGGTGTTGATTTCTCCTTGCCTTTTCTATTCAATTGTTTTGTACTTTTGTTTGTCATGGCAGATATTTGAATAAATAAATACATGGTTGCAGAATAAACTCACTGGTAAATAGGTTCATGGAGGAGAGAATTATGTCTTAGTATGGTCAAAAATTGTGTTTTTATATCACAATATTTGGGAGTAGCAATCAATTTTGATAGGCAAATTTTAAACAGTTTTGTTCTGAAGGCCTCATTGTGGCATTGGGTGACGGGGCCAACCTACCTGTGACGTGCTCACTGGCACCACTCTGCTCATTTGGCTAATGAACACCTGGCAACATATTACAATCTATCAGGAAGTTTACCATTACCAGAAGATGGTTTACTGTTGATCTATTTACATGTATTATATTATAGATCAAAATGTAAAAATACTTAAAAAAAACAAACTTTTTATAGAGTACCACAGTAGTGTCGTCACGACACCAGGTGGCACACTCTGTTGTCAATAGGTGTTGGTTACCGTTCATTACGCCTGAATGACTTCATAGGCTTTTTGGAATAGGCATTTTAAAATCTCATATTTTACCATCAAAATGTACTAAAAACATAAAAGCTCGAACTATATTAGTTATCGAACACACATTTAATCATCACTTAAAATTTAGAAAGAAAAAGTAAGATACAATATCTTAATAATTAGGTTAGAATTGGGATCAATGGTTTGTCAGCGAGGAAAATGGTGTCCGGTAGAACGCTTTTTGCAACGATAGCAACCGAGTAGTATCACATGGTAGTACTCTATAAATCAATGAAGTAGAACTGCAAATACTAATCATACAGAAAACTGAAATTCATCAATTGATATTTATTTATCAACTTGTAAGAAAAAATACACATTACCAACAATAATTTAAGGTCATAATCCACTACTCTGTTAAGTTTACCTTCATGTGTCTAATTTTAAAGAGATTGTTAAACAGGACTCGCATTTTAAAATACATTTATTTCTTGTTTTATCTTATCTTTGTTGAGCAAATACTTTACTAAGAATTTCCTCAGGTCCCAACCTTGTTTGCCTCTTGTGCAATGTGTAGCCTCATTTGTGACCTTTGACCACAAATATCCAAAACCACAGAAAAAAAACTCTGTCATTCTCGGCCCTTTCCAGTCCGATTACATTCCCTGGTCAGTCCTAGATACATTCCGGCATTCCAAGGACTAAAAATATCTGTACAACCCGGGGTCAGTCCCAGCTAGTGCCCCGCTATATTGCACGCATCCAGGGGAAGTGCATTAAGTAAATATTAGCAGGTCCCATCGTTGACACTGTGTCGAATGAAATTATGCTATTGCCTGGAATAAAATTATGCTACAGATGCTAAGCCTCAAATAGCTGATATATACATGACTGCCATGGATTTAACTAACATTTTAGTACTTGGATACCCGGCAGTCGGGAATGCAGTACTTTTTGCGTTCAAAATAGCGTATTTGGCTAAAATCAGATTTAACCCACTCGTTGCCATTCCCCCTTACCTTATTTGCCTTTCTAGGTGAGGTGAGAAAATTTCAAAAATAGGCATCTAGATGCTCGGAAATGGCACTATCTGACTTTTTTGCAATTTATTTTCTAAATGTAATGAAATTTACATCAATTCTAAATTATGCTACGTTTTCATGAAATTATGCGTAGCATTGATGTACATGCTATGGGGTCAAAATTATGCCTTGAAGCATAATTATGCTACAATTGGCCACTATGGCAGGTCCTGTAACACTATTGATGAAAGCAGAATGTGTTTATGAAAGCATAACTATTGGCTAGCATCCGGTTCTGGTATTTTCCAGTTTAATTTTCGACCCTGTTCATACAGTTCTTTGAGAGTTGCTTTCCACGACACTTTATCGTTTCCATTGTCGCTGCCTTCCAGGTACTTCTGGTAGAGAAGTAATGCTGTGCGCGCATCTTCTATGCTGTCATGAGTTTCAGATTGGATGTTCAGTTCTGCAAAAGTTAACAAAACGGTTTGTAGCATTAAAAATTTGAATGTTGTAATCATTAAATCCCTAAATGTAATCAATACATAAAAGACACACCTGAACATATATAATTTTGAATTTGTATTTTTTACCAAACTGAATAAAACACAATATGTAGCCTTGAGAATTCTATTAGGCCAAAATTCTTCTGTTGCCCTAAAATGCATTAACATTTTTTTTTTTTAAATAGGACTACCTAGAACATGATAGGCCTCGAACTGCGGCCATAAGGCTAGACTATCTAATTTAGGCTTAGGCCCCTAGGCACGCCAATTGAATGGTGGCAAGCTTAGCCTAAAGAAAAAATATATATATATATAGAATAAATATACTAACCAAATACATATAGCAATACATATTTATTTTTTTTTTGGCAATATGTATAGCAGTCTATGAGCATGCGTTTAAATGGCATATGTGAATACATTCTGTTTTTTGAGGTGTTAGCTGCTGAGATGAATGTCAACTTACTCAAGAAATACCAGGCAAGGAACTTCAATGATGAAAGTCTCTGCTTAGGTAGGCTGAAAAGAATTGCTGTGTCCATTATTTGATTTGAAGGAACCTAAGAAAAGCAAAAATATACAATAAACATTAATTTTTTGCTTAATTAACATAATTGTAATGATATTAACATTAACCAAAATAATTAAAAACACATACAATTTTAAGAAAACCCTTTCCAACAAACAATAATTTGATGCTTGCTAAATGAAATACATGGATCGTATATACAGCTAGCCAGTATGAAAAATATTATTGCATTATATATTTACAGCACTTAATGCAAAGGTCCCTCAGGGCAAGCAGCATGTCATAGCCACACTGATATAACATGAGAATGCAAACTGCTGCGTCACATCCACATGAGGCTTCATGCTGCTATAGTATATGAATTATTAATATTATAAAAATGATGAGGCACAAATCAAATCAATACCTACTTTGATCTGATCAAATGAGCAATAATAGTAATTTAGGAAATAATGATGTTTTTTTGTTTCTTTTAGTAGAGTCCTTATTTTAAAAAATGAATTTATTAGTAGATTAATTTCTTCATAACACAATTTAGTTCAGGCCTATCTGTATATTGATATATTTAATTCTATTTACATACTTCTCATCATAGTGTTTTATGCATGATTAGTTAAACTCATAATGTCTGTGTGTTTTGTACCATCTTGTTTAATAATGTTAACCATGACTGATTTGTGTCTACTGTTTTTTTTGGGTAAATAAATAAAAATAAAATGTTTTCATTTAAATTTTGAACGTTTTTAAGATAGAAATAAAGGGAAAAAAATCCCAATAACACACACTTACCCATCCTTCAACCACCACCCACTAATATACATACATACAAACATACAAAGAAAAACTTACACCTACCTGTAGGTTTATGACCCTGAAATCTTTCTTCAGTCCATGACCAATAAATGTGACCCCTCTGTCGACTAGGTACCGGAGTTTCAAGTAGGTTGATTTGAGAGTTGTGATGTGCTTTGATGATATCATTACATCTAGATCACCAGGTTTTATTCCGGAAAATTTAGTCAGGTAGTCCACCACCTATTCACAAAAAAGTACAAAATAAACTATCACATTATTAAGTTAAAAGTAATAGAAGTACAGGGGATATAGATGAATCACTATATGAGGTTTGCCATTTGAAAACCAGCGTAATGTCACTAATTGTTAAACTGAGTAATTAGATACCTAAGTACAGAGAAGCCATAATAATTTTACTCATAGTTAAGTAGATTCCGGTAAAAGACCCATCATTTTAAAGCTAACAAAATGGAGAACAACAATATGTTTAAGTCAATTTTCATTTTCACAGTTAATCCCAGTAGAGGAAAATTTACCTGTTCTTGAGTAGAAATATAATCGTCGATGAAAGGAATGCCCTGCATGGGTCCAACGCCGCGGATGCAGGTAATCCTGGCAACTGACATCTGACTTGGTTTAACAGTGGTCCTTGTACCATCACTACGGATCTCAGCCTCTTCCTGTTGTAACAACAACCAGCAATATAAAGGTTAACCATTGGCCTTTTACTGTAGTATATATTTTTGTTTTATTTGAACCACTGATAAAAATAGGCTCCTAGCAAGAGCGTGTGGGTACTGCTTGACATGTTTTTTTTTTATTTTTAGTTTTTTTTGGCTATTTTCAACTCATCCATATGCTTTCTGTGTTGCCAATTCACTAGAATAACAAGTATATACCAGATTGTTATGAACTTTCTAGGTCTTATCTAGCAGCTTTCTGTGTTGTCAATTCAACTGATAACTTAGGCTACGGTCACACTAGAGTCTCAAGCCTGGCTTGACTCACCGCGGGTGAGATTTCAAGCCAGGCTCGAAATTCTGGGTCGGTCACACTACCTGAATTTAGTTGGATTGACCTCCAAATTATGAAAGTCGAAACAGGAAGTTAGAGCGCCGCCACAATCAAAATACCGGCCCCGCGTGCGAATCTAGATGATCTAGGCCTAGGCTCAGATGTAATGGCGATGCTAGTTTTCGGATTGATAAGTGCATTTATAAATGACAACTGATGATTGCCGCAGGTTTTTTGTTCGAGAACTTCTAAACGCAACGGCGTCATCGACTGTGATTGGTTGACAGCTGACGAGGAAATGTCAATCCCGGTCATGCCAGGGTCAATCCAGGGTCAATCTGGGTACTGAGCCGGGATCGAGATAGGTAGATTGAGATCGAGGTCACGTCAGGCGCGAGTCGATCCAGGTGCGGTCACATTATGAAAATCTCACCCTCGGTGAATCAAGCCAGGCTTGAGACTCTAGTGTGACCGTAGACTTAATGTAACTAGGACAGGTCTTATCTAGCATGGCATCATATTTCGTAGACTTGCTTTTCATTTCTATCTTTATCTCATGACCTATTCTTACAAGTTCAACTGCCACATGACAACAAAGCACAAAAAGCTTTCCATTCATTCAGATGTAGTGGTTCATAACCAAACAAAATTCATGATATAGCTTTTGTCAGTGGAAAGCTTAGTCTTATCAAGTTTTATGTAACAAATATATCTGATATGCCCATATATGGCATGATGATTTCATATTACATGAGTAAATTATGGGTATTTGTCACACAAAACTTATATTGGGGACAGAGCGTAGTCATATTTCTTGAAGTATTATTATGTACCCATGGTGATGTCAAAATGGACTTTCTACTAAAATTCACAAAATATGACTTGCCAACAAAATAGTGCAGTCTTACATTTGAAGGTATATGACATGTGTTATCATGTGTCTTATGTGTTGAATATTAAGACTAAGTAAAGATAAGTATGACGATACAAAAGTATCAATGTTTGTGATGATATATTTAATGTCAAACATGAAAGGAGATAAAAATGTTGGTTGGTAGGCCAAATATTTCCAAATGACAATACACATCATATGCAAATGAATGCCAGAATTGAAGTATAATTTACAGGCTAAGAAAAAATTGAGAAGTTACACATATTTTATTCCCACTCCATTAAACTTTGATTATTATTACTAATTTACCTGATTGAGAGAGACAAATTCAGCATCAATAGCTACTGGGAAGCCATCTTCAAACTGGAGTTCACCAGATTGTAAAGCTGTGAACGTGCTATGCTGGACTTCAGTACTTTGAGCTAGTGATGCCTTATGCAGTAGCACCGACTCATCAATTGGATAATGTACTAGATGAAGTCACATGAAAATAATTAAATAATTAAAATTTAAAATGATGAATGAAGTTACAAGTTTATTTTTAGAGCAGCAGTAACAGTTCATATTTTTACAGCCGTCTTATAAACAGGCTGCTGTTTTCTATTATGCCAAAGCAGTAAGTCTTGAAATGGCATTCTAAAAATGGAAAGATTGATAGAAATGATGACAACAGTTCATAAGACAGGTAATGTCATGTAAGCTGACTTCATCATCATCTTTCGGTACTGTGCATAACCTCTATTAATAGAGTATACTCGCAACAACATGATTATTTATGCCGGTGTTACAAACGTATTATCCATGTCAATAAAAGAATGTTTTCCTCACCAGTCGTGTCGTGATGTTCTGCTAAATCTGTCCGCGTGAAGTACAGAACACAGGGCGTCATCCAATCTAGGTTGAACTGCCTGGCTTCATGCCGTTCAATAGGCGTAATGGCAAAATCATTAAACACGTACCAATTTGTATGTGTTACACCCTGAAAATCAATCACAAGTATATGTTAGCCAAATGCAAATAGTGCATTATTATATAATTCAATCAATTTAAAAAAAAACATTCAGAATGTGTGTATTTTGTAATTTTTTGTTTGCTTTTAACAAGACAAACATACACACAAGACACTTAATAAAGTAAGTCTCAATTATTGTTGTTTAGAGAGTTCTTTTTAGTTGTGAAAAAACATCATCCTGTAACATAACATGATTTGAACCTAGGACCCTGTGATTGGAAGACAAGCATTTTAACCATCGAGCTACAGCTCCAAATTAATGGTTGGCTTACATTTAAATGATTTATACTTCATTCTGACAGTGAGTTAGTCATGCTAAAATTGGTTATTATGCAATGCATAAACTTCAACCAGATATAGCATGATATTACATTCCATATGAACAAATGTATAGTTAATTTGACTGTAATTTTATTACATATGTAAACTATAACCATTTGTAATTCAGATTTTAACTGAGATGTATTTTGGAAATAAACCTTGAATAAAAAAACAGTCAATTCTTAATACTACTACAAATCCACATGTGTATAGTTAACTATCATGCATGCACTAGAGTACAGTACTAAAAAGTATATAAGTACAAAATACATTATATAGACCCTCATGAATATAGTAGCTCTATACACAGTATTATAGTGGAGGGGATATTTAATTTGATGAGTTGATGTTGTCTGGGCTCTAACTTACCTCTTTCCGTTTATGATACATTTTGCCAACATTAATGTGGGCAATAAGGTTCCCGCCAGACCTCAAATCCTGTATGTGTGCTACCGACGTATGTAAGAGATACTTTTGGAAGCCATCGTCACTGGATTTAGTGAGCTCCTCCTATTTCAATAAAGAACATATTAAAATCATTAATACCTATTGGCTCATGTTTTACAATTCCTAATATGATTTAGTTATACTTTCTGGCCTCAAAAAAATTACAAGCATTTGTCAGAACAAAATTTGAATTGGTTAAATACCAATGTCTATGACAAGAAAGGTGTGATCATTTCACTAAATAAAATATAATAAATATAGATTATTTATCTTAGCTATTAAGGACTATTCACTCCCTGACAAACACAAGCTCACTTCTTTGTCTATGTCATGAATTTCCAGAGCTCCATTTTCTGAGAGTCGCATCTTGATTCCGCATGGCACCCACGAGGATGTGTTAATCTTAATTCTAAAGAAAAAAATACATAGATATTTCAAGTAATACACAAATTAATTGATAAAGAACCATACAACTACATAAAAGCAACAAAATAAGTAACATACTTCCCACATACTGACATGTGGGAAGCCTTTCGCATCATTAAAAACAAAACTAATATCTTAATACGTAAGGTAAAGAAAGAATTCCTTTCAAATGCTATAATTGAAAGTAAAAACAATATTAAAATACATGGCAAAATTTACGTCATGTTATTCCAACTAAAAGCAAAAACACTAATATTGTAAGCATTAATACTGAAAATGGGACATCTAACAACCCCAAAATTATTGCAGATTCAATGAATAAATATTTTACTAGTATTGGTCCTAAATTAGCGAATAACATTCCAGACAATAACTTTTGTAATTATGATACTAACAATACTATTAATATAAATGAAGATTTATTTTTTGACTTCCAACCAGTAACATGTAATTATGTCACAGAAAAGTTAAATGAACTATCTATAAATAAAGCTACTGGCTGTGACAATATTCCCTCTAAACTCCTAAAACTAGTTGCACCCATAATTGCCCCCATTATAACACACCTTGTTAATTACTCGTTTACAACTTGCAAATTTCCAACAAATTGGAAACAAGCTAATGTACTACCCATTTTTAAGGCTGGTGATCGAAGCAACCCAGATAATTACCGTCCAATTTCTGTACTAAACGTAATTTCTAAGATAGTTGAACGAGCTGTTTTTGATCAATTATATGACTATCTAAATAATAACGATCTTTTAAATAATAACCAATCAGGCTTCCGTCCGAATTACTCCACAACTACAGCACTTGTAAATATTACAGAAAAATGGCTCAATGTTAAAAAGTCTGAATTCATGCTAATTGGTTCCAGACAAAGACTAAGTACTGTAAATAATTGTTTATCTGTAAATATCAATGGTATTAATTTAACTAGGGTAGATAAATGTAAATATCTTGGTGTAATTATTGATAAATATTTAAGTTGGAATGATCAAATATAAAATGTTCGTAAAAAAGCACTAAGTGGTATATATATGTTAAAAAAGGCAAAACCATTCATTCCTCAATACACTCTTTTAAATGTATACAATAGCATAGTTCTTCCTCACCTCCAGTATTGTAATGTTGTATGGTCTAATTGTGGAGTAACAAAAGCCAAACGTTTACAAATAATCCAAAATAGAGCAGGAAGAATAATTTGTGGGGCATCTTGGGATACATCCAGCATAGAAGTCAGAAACCAACTTAAATGGAAAACACTTTTAGATATGCAAGCTTTAAATCGCAATATATTTGTATATAAAATTCTTTATCATTTGTCACCAACCTATCTTTTGAATATGTTTAATTATAATATAAATAATTACAACTTAAGACATAACCAGAAAAATGTTGTTCTGCCATTACCCAAGACTGAATATAAAAAACGTAGTCTTTCCTATAAAGGGGCATTGGAATGGAACAACCTGAATGTTGACATTCAAACAGCTCCAACACTGCACTCATTTAAATTCAAATTAAGTCAACTTTAAGTCTCTAATCATCTAATCATTTTATCTTGTTCTGATTGTTCCTTGTTGTACCTTTTATATATTGTATTGTAATTATTGTATTTATGTATTATTGTGCACGGCCCCAGGGAAGAACAACCCTGTGTTGATCTGGGCCTCCGTGGATAAATAAAGTTGAACTGAACTGAACTAGAGACCTTTCACAATTAAACAACATTTTTACAAGTGTATAAAGACATGTAATATAATGTGGAATACAATAGTTCTTAATTATCTGTACATAAATAAATAATAAACAATATGATTATTTTGGCTTTTTCTGACACAAAATAGATAGAATAATATAATATTATCTGTAGCCTAAAATAATTAGGATTCCTTGAGTAAGGAGTTTACTATAATATAAAGTTTCAATTCTACAAGCTCCCCTGGTTCCACAAGTGTGCATAAAACTTTCACTGTACTTACACATTAATGCCTTCATCATCTTCAGAATGCCTGAACTTGCAATCTTTCCTTGTGCATCCTTTTCCATATCTGCACATTTTGGTTGTTGACACTATTGTATCTGCTACTTCATCTCCATTCTGCTTAGCAATCTTGAAAAATTAAAAACATATAAACCAAAGCAATCAATCAATCAATCAACATTTATAAAATGATACTTTCAGTCAGAAAAATTTTGGGGTTTTGGATTCCTAAACTTCTATATAATTGGAACCCCACACATGGAAAATGCAGATCAGGAAGACCTAAAACCACTTGCAAACATGTCATTAAGCGAGATTTGGACAGACTATATGTATAGGTGGACTCGGAGGTTGCAGCTCAAGACCGAAAGATCTGGGAATTTCTCACAAGTCAGGCAGCAAGTGCAGAAATGCAAGATGCTGTCCAGTAAGGAAATAGCTTGAGGAGTGGGAACAGGTGGGGACAGGTGGAGGAGAGACAAATATGATTCTGCGCAGTACCTCCTCTTGTGTTCTCCAAAACATCATGTCGCTATTGGTTTCTAGTTGGCAATTAATGGCGATCACATCGGGAAGACGCTTGATTGTTCTCGTCTGCACCTGTGGTAAAAACGAAAGGATGCATACATTATAACCAAAACAAGCAGCTCACAGGCTGAAATCGTTGGTTTACAAATGTAGTATTGGTTCAATGCTCTGCTAACCATGCTGAACTGCCCTTAGTTGGCAATTGACAAAATTTGTTTATTCTCCATAATTTTCATTTTTTATTAACCTCTATCACATCAGGCTTTATTGGTAATGTTTCAGAATAGGTCTAATTGTTAATATTCCAAATCCACGTATTGTACATGAATGCTTATTCAGCAAAAAAAGTCACAACCAATTATTCTGAGGAATGTAAAAAACCAAACAAAGTCTATGTGAATCAAAAACAACACAATCAAACATATGATGATGTTTATGGTAGTGATTACTACAATGATGTTGAACAAGTTTAAGTAGTTATCTTAACAATACTATAATGATGATGATGAAGATATGATGATAATGACGAAGATGATGTTGATGGCGATGATAACAATAGTGTACACAAAATATATGGGAACAAATGTTTTATGAATTTGGACAGATGCATTCCCTCTATTAAAAAGAAAATGAAATGCTTCAATTTAACTTTTAAAAATCTATCAATACTTACTGTCGGCAGATACTTCTTGCAGTCTTTACACCAAGCCTGCGTCATATGTTCTAATGATAAACTTCCTTGTAAAACTGAAGCAAAGCTGAACACTTTTGGAGGTTGACCAGCACCTGGATGATGACAAGAAAAGGAAAACACAATTCATATCTACTGCATTAAATAATCCAACCAGTGTATTTTGTGAGGGTAGAATAATGAATCATTACTCCATACCGAGAGACACTTGAAGGAAGTGACTTGAAACCAACAGAAATGGTAATTTTCTTTTTAATTGGAATAGCGTAACCACAACAAACCACTTCATTTTATATCACATATATTGACAATACAATTCACCCATAAGAGAACCAAAACAATACAATAAAATTAACAAGACCATGAGTAAAACAGATTGTTACACCCTCCTGACTTGTTATAATGTATAAATATAAAAAGAAAGAAATTGTTCCGACTGGTTTTATAGATAATTCCCCCAAAACATAAATTAACAATAAAAAAACAAATTACATTGTACAAACAAAAATGAAAACACAATATAAATTTTAAAAATATTGTCCAAACCTGCTGGATTCATATCTGGATAATTGAGAGTAACGAGCATTGTTGAGGTGGACCGCGTTGTTTCTTTACCGCACTTGCACCGGTTCACAATGTCCATGTCAGACTCAAACAACCTCTGCACGGTCGATGGCGTTACGATGACCTCTTCAGAGCTGACATCAGTTTCTGAGGTCAAAGGATCTTCTTTAATTTCCTGTGTATCCTTTAGTATCAAAATAACCATAGATAATTTTAGTGGAGCTCTCGACTATTTGTTAGGGAGCTTGCCTTCTGATGCCAGAGTTCTTGGTTCATAAACCTGTAAAATCGATAGCGGTACACCAGCTGTGCCGCTCAACGATAATGTGACAACTCAAGTTTACATGACCTTGTGTTCCTAAAACAGTATCACATCCAAGTACTGAGTCTTTCTAATGCTTTTTTATGTAATTGTTATATTGTAAATAAAATCAAACAAGGTATAAATGGGCTCAACTTTATTTAAATCTGGTGATGCGATGCAATTGCAATTTCAATGTGGTATACCTTGTTATCTAGCTATTGCAAAGTAATTTGTACTGGACTACACATGAAAAACTTCTCTATTATCAAGATAATAACAATCATCAAGGGTTGAATACAAACCTGCATAAGCTGTGGAAGGACAAACCGATTCCAGCTTTGAATAAGACGTGGTAAGTTTGCCCTTCCAGCTGCTTCTTCAGCATCCCCTATAATCAATCCAAGAGCAGAAGCTTCTGGAATCGTACGAAACGCACGTAGGAAATTACTAGCCTGTAGAGAAATGGTGCAGATAATAAAATAGACTATTAAAATTATGAATCAAAAAATAAATATATGATATTAAAAATATGATAAATAAAAAAAGGTAAAATATGAAAAAAATAAAATTAAATATGATAAATAAACATGGACTATATTCAGAATTTGATTGATAAAATCATGGCAAGGTAATCTCTGTAAAATTGTGTGCACATAAAGGTACATGATTTAATTGATCAGACATGTATGAAACATACATACACAATCAGATAAAGCCTGATCAAAGCCTGAAGCATACATGCATAATCAGATAAAAGTTTGATCAAACATATGATTGTGACTGCTTGGCTTTAGATAAAAGCAGTCACAATAGACAGTAAAACGTCCATTTTATGTACCCCTTGGTACCAAGGGTTGTTCGTACAGTGTAAATAGAAAAATTTGTAAACTAGATCGGTTGTCAGTTTCCAATACCTAAGCCTAGCTATCCCCTGCCATTAAGCGCTGATAGGCTGACGGCGGCCAGGCCTAGCACAAACTGACAGTGCAGCAGCATGGTCTACCGTGCTAGAGTTTGGCTGAATTTACCTTCAATAAAACCAAATTATTTTAATTAATTGAAAAGTCATTGAATAAATGTTATTTGTTAACTCTTATTCAAACATCTGTATGTTTTATGGACCTTTCTATCGTGTTCTTTCTAGTTGTTAGATTGCCGAATTGTGTTGTTTACATGAATTTCGCGATCATATCTCAAACTCGCGATCATATCCCAACACTCTCATCATCCTAAACATGTGCGCTCAATCCGACGACACTTGCGTTGGTAGTTCGTTGTTCTAGTTAGGTTTATTACATTAATATATTGATTATTATACCAGAAATGGAAGAAAAGATCAACTATTAATAAATAAATAGAACAAACTTGATTTTATTAAGAAAAATACACATCTTTGTAAAACGTGCGCAATGCACTTCTTACCGTATAATTGGTCGATGATGATGTCATAAGGGGCAAAGACCATTCGTAAAATCGAAGTTTGTAAAATGGACGTTTTACTGTATTCATCATTCATCATAGAATGTAATGCACTTTGTGCACAAATTTCAACACAATCATTTTGTGTACATACCTGACATGTTTTGCCTTTAGTCTGGTCTAGCATATGGAATAAGAAACCAAGCTCACAGGCAAGGCAGAACTCCTTGGCACAAATGTGGCTTTCCATTGCACATCGGAGAGGTTCTATGAAGTACAGAACCTGAATGAAAAAAATACAAAATTGGTTAGTAATATCTATATTATAATTATGCATATTTCAAAGCCTAAAATTACAGAGTTAACCTTCTTTTTACGTCAGATAACGTCTAAGATTCGGAACCTACCGGTCTGAAAAACTGTAATAACATAGGTCATCAAAGTCTTCATCTCACGAAGTGAACATAATTCCATATTTCAGCTTAATTGAGGGGAAAATAATGACTGTACTGTCAATATTTACTCTGGAATTTTAGCGGCATTGTACACATGGAATTTTGTATTTAAAAGCAGCCTAGTTTATATGATTCAAACTGGTGTGTGCACACCAAACAAAGGAGACTGTTGTGTCAAGATTCTAATCCATCAAGCTTTCTTTTCTATGTGAAATACATATCACGAGTACCTGCCTTCAAAAGAGATGTTTAAGCTATTGGCACATTGTACAAACATGGTTCTTGAGCAGAGTACTCTCTTGTATAACGTGTAGATGTTCTGCAGTGTACATCTCAACTAACTACACCACGGCTGCCACAGGTTCACAGAGGACCGGCATGAACTTGGACTAAAGTTAATTTACTTTTTGTGAGGATGGTAGCATATATTACTTCATGTGATATTACAGATATATATGCTGTCATTGTCAAAGAAAAAGTTTATCAATTTTATATAATTTGAAAACTGATTTAGCATAATCAGGGTACATAATATCCGATTTTTGAAATTACGAATCTTGTGCACATTTGTTATGTACACACTCTCAACTGCATTTTTCATGAGTCAACAGGTTCATCACTCTATCCGAGTTTAGTGACAGGCCACTGTAATGCATAGATCGTTCTCGACAAGTTCTTTGCGTTATTACTATCCTGTATTCGTATAAAAAAGATCTCTCCCAATGGCTGTGTATACAGTATGTCAAGCATTCTCATGGTCAATGACGGCGAAGTGTCTTCAACATGAGGGCGGCTATCGGAACAAGTAACAAGTAAGATGATATTAAAATCATCAGTCATGATAAAAGATACTCATCTCACCTGTAACATAGCATTGCAATATGCATTTGGAATGTGTGTTTCTAGTCCAGCGAAGTTGGTCTTGTTGTAGTGTCGAAAGTCAAAATCTTCAACCCCAAGCTTAGAGTACTTGATCTCCACCAGATGTGTATAAGAGACAGACTATTAATAAATAAATAGAACAAATTTGATTTTATTAAGAAAAATATACATCTTTGTAAAACGTGCGCAATGGACTTTTTACGGTATAATTGGTTGATAATGATGTCATCAGGGGCAAAGACCATTCGTAAAATCAAAGTTCGTAAAATCGAAGTTCGTAAAATCGAAGTTCGTAAAATCGAAGTTCGTAAAATGGACGTTTTACTGTATTCATCATTCATCATAGAATGTAATGCACTTTGTGCACAAATTTCAACACAATCATTTTGTGCACATACCTGACATGTTTTGCCTCGGACAGCAGCGTTGATTCTCCATAGGGCGTGGGAATACTTGACAATGGTGTGAACTCGTCCATTATGCCAATAGGATTCAGATGGTCCACCTAATACAATCATAGCAACCAAATTATTCATTGATATATTATTATTATTATTCATGATATTGTCTTATGACAGCTATCCCTGGCAGCTATCCTGATTTTTAAATGGCTGAAATTTAAAAATTCTAAATGATCTCTCCTGTGATTGGTTGACATGTGGCATGTAGTGCGGGTGACATACTTTTGTTTTTAACATACACACCCAACAGTAAATATCAATTAATTTCAGATAAATTTATTGATGTAGTGATTAGCTTATTTCCCTTACCTGTGGAGCAAACTCTGTTTCCTGAGAGTAATCATTGAAAACCACGTTATTAGATTCACTCCATAGGTGCACATAACCTAATTAAAAAAAAAAAAAAACAAAAAAAAAAATGTGGAGTTAAAACACTGATCTCTATTATAATAGCTGGATTGTTGGGGGGCCTAAGTGACGTATCAGTTTAGACAAGTTTCTTTTAGCATTTGTTTAAATTATTGTTAAAAATAACGATTCTTGCAAAACTTTTTAATAATAAATTTGAATTTAACATAATGATTATTTTTCAAATCATCTATCTACTTGATGCGACTTTTTATGCAGTTTAAGAAAACGAGCAAAGTTATTTGCGTTGTTAGGGATCGACGTCACTGTAACAATGCAACTTCGCTCATGCTTTTGAAAACTGCATAAACAGTCGCATCTAGTGGTTAGATGGTTTGAAAAAAAATTCCTACGTTAAATTCAAATTTATTATTGAAAAGTATTGCAAGAATTGTTATTTTTAACTGTAATTTACACAATGCCAAAAGAAACTCTTCTAAACTGGTACGTCACTTTCGCCCTCAAAGTGGAGTCGGAGGCCTCACTTTTTTTCTATACCAGGATTGGCCGATGAGCAATCCAGCTATTATAGTAAAGATCAGTGATGATAAAAAAAAAAAATGAAATAAAAAAAAAAATTACATCAGAATATAGCATTGCAGTAGCTGTTACATGGGGATCAGATTCATCACTAGCCACACTAAGTGCAAGCTCGGTGGTCTAGTGGTTAAGACACCAGGGTAGTTATCTGGAGGTCATGGGTTCAATTCCCACCCAATCACAATATTTTTTTCGCAAGTATTTGGGTATGTACTGAGTATTCAGTACGATAACACATCAGGTAGGGCAAACATCACTCGAATGAGGTCTTGTTTTTTTCTATAGCTCTTTTCACAATAAACATCTTCTCAAGGCACATTTACTAATGACTGTCAAAGTCAATAGATGATCTGAGTGCAATATTTATTATTTCATGGAAATTATCACCAACAAGGCAAGTCACTCAAGGTTTATTAATAAAATGAAATCTACTGAACAATTGTTACTGATGAAACCTACCTCCTGATTCTCCGAATGCAATGCCTTGAAAATTTGTTGACACATCCACTGCACTGACCATGTGACCGCCAGTGTTGATTTGATATAAGAACATGCTTTCAGCAGTTACTAGACCACCGGGATCAAGCAACTGGAACTGACCAGACTGCAAGGAAAATTAACAACTCAGAAATCGGTTGAGAAAATACATTTTTACCAAGTATTGTTGAGCTAAGGACCTAGGGATTGGAAGATGGCCATTTAACTACCAAACTACTTCTCCACCCCAAATCCAATTCGATACTAGATGATTAATCAGATGCTTACCTGTGAAATTACAGCTAATCTGTTGGAATATGTGGGAACATATCTCAGAAACACAGGTTCAATGGGAATTTGAAGGGGTGTAATTGGACGCATTACACGGAGGTCATACACAATCAAAAGACGGTCTAGTGCCATTGTGCCAAGTCTAAAACCCAGAAGTAAAAACACATCTTAAAAGATTTGATCAACGTAAAAAAAAAATCAGTTTTTATAAATGTAAAATTGCCCAGTGCTAAGCTAAGACCAATGTGTGGGAAGTGATTCAAGACTAAAAATTTGAAAATATTTTAATGCATGAATAAATAAAATCATTATAAGTAATTTATATTAAATTTAAAAAAAAAAACAATAGAGAAATAAAATGTGAAATGTGGATGCAATACTTTAGTATATATGACCTAGTATTCATCCTGTTATTCTTGTTGGAATTTAAAATATTCTGATATTTCTCTTCATGATGTGCTGTTGGAGCAAGTACCACAGTTTGGCATGGTTGCTTCAATATGATGTATCTATTAAGGGAATGTATAATGTGCCATATATAAATTGATTGATTGATACCTGTCTGTCAAACCGCATGTAACTAGCTGGTTGCCATGGACATCAAAGTCAGTGAGCCCACCTGACTGTGCATCAAGTGAGTGCACTACTTTCATTGTGGCAGGGTCACGTAGGTTTACCTGCAGATAAAGTAACAAACGATTCTCAAGCATTGTTTATTATGAACAAGTTCACTGCTATTGTGATCAACAACGACAATGTAATATCAAACACTAACACTATTAAATCACCAATAACAAAATGTAGCATCACAAAAATCATTGTTATTATTATATGACTAGTGCCATTAGTGTGGATTTTACAGTCTGTAATGTTACTATTAACCATTTATTCTTTGTTTTGCACCCTAACCTTATATGTAATACCAAAACAAACTCCATTTCTAAGTTATACAGAACCAAAATTATCACCCCTGCTCATTTGTTCACTAAAATTTTAAAGATGGTTAGAATAACACAATATACCTTCCCCCTGCTATCACCACAGCATAAGAAACGTTGACTGGTACGTAACACAGATACGACTTCTTCATCAATGTCATATATCGTCTGATTCTCTCCTGTTGTTAAGTCTAACTTGATCAACTTTTTGTTCTGGCCTCCCATGACAAGATTAAAAGGATCAAATAAAAGCATGGACTGCATATTCACCATCGCCTCATGCCTTAAAAAGATGAAAATGTAAGTAGGTAGACAAATTAAGTGTTACGGAAATTGTGTGGTTTCACTACAATATAGTTCACATGTAAATTGAAACCATTACTTACTTGTAATCAAATATGCGCATTCCTTGACGGGAATTGCATCGAAGACTGTCTGCTGTGAGAGACAGAACACCGCCCTCAAACGTGGCCATTCCTACAATAGGTTGTGTGGCATGTGTTTGAAATGAGGTGTACTTCTGCATGTGAGGCCCATAGTATGATGTTACATGTCCCTGTAGAAAATTAAATAATATTTCTTAAAGGTTTGCATGGTGAAGAAATAATATATATGTTGAAGCTTGCGGTACACCACGTAAGTAGTTCTGAAAAGAGACTTTCTCAACTACAACAGTACAATAATACTAATATAGGCTTACCATTCCAAAACCAGCGTACTGTTGCTAATTTGTTAAAATAAGTACTGGTACTGGTATGGGCATTAATAATGCGCCTCTTCCTTGTGTTTATAATGTGCAGTTCTTTTCCCTGTCATTGGGTCCGCATGCTAATTGTTGCTGCTGGTAATCAGCGCAGGAGCAGGCAACCCCACCAGGTACCCATTTATACTCATGGGTGGAGAGAAGCAATGCAGATAAAGTGTCTTGCTCAAGGACACAAGCAAAATGCACAACGAGGGATTGAAACCCCGACCACGAGGTTGGGAAACCAAACCGTTTCTGCTGCGCCAAACCGCTTAGCATAAGAATGTGACAGTACTGTATTGTATACTTCAGTATAAGCCATAATACTTTTACTCATAACTTTGGCAATAGTAAGTCAATTCCAGTAAATTACCCATCATTTTAAAGCTTACAATGTGCAGAATAAGGAAATATTAAAAAGTCAATTTTCATTTTTGGGTCACTAATGCTGGTTTTGAGATCGCCAGCCTTATATATATGAGGTAACATAACATCATCTTGCCCACATATGGGCACAACAGATATTTGCCACATAAATCATGATGTACGGCTCTAGCTTTTTTGCAGTGTTCAGAAGTTATATCATTTTAAAAACATGATTTAGATAATTCTAATAATACCTGATGCGTTCCCATCCATAGCAGCTCCTCTTGAATGTCAAAGTGCACGGTAGAGACACCATAATGGCCACAACCATCACCAAGCACACTGTGAACTTCATGATATTCACCATGCGCAGACACACCAATGGGTTCTATACAAAGAGAAATACAACAAAGTATACAAATAAATATTACTTGTAGGTTACTAGTTATTTGTTTGTTCACTATTGTTTACCAACTATGCAAAATTCATGTTCTACATATGATTTCATTTTCCACAACTTAAACCAAGAGAGAAGAGTCAAAATAGCAAGCAAATCAATTAACAAGCATAGAAATTTAATTCATGTACTTCATATTTAATTCATGTACTTCATATTGTCTAGCCAAATTTTAAATGATTTTTTTGACATTTTTACATTGAATATTTTAAGATAAATATTAATGCTTATCTGCATATTTTTATATCTCAAATACCTTTTAAATTAAATTTGCTCGTTTATTGATTTTTACTCATTTTTCTATTTTTTCAATATTTATTTTTCGATTTTTTATCTTTCTGAAGAATTTTATATTGTATGTATTGTGTTTTTCTTGTAAAGGGCCTCCACTCGACAGTGATTGATTTTACTTTTGGAGTGTCCTGTCTCTGTTTTTTGTACTTTTGTGATTGTTCTTCGCCTTTTCTATTTATGTACATTCTAATTGTTTGAGACAATAAATGAAATGAAATGAAAGGTAGATTAAATTGTTACCATGATATTCACCATGCGCAGACACACCAATGGGTTCTATACAAAGAGAAATACAAAGTATACAAATCAATATTACTTGTTACTTGTAGGTTACTAGTTATTTGTTTGTTCACTATTGTTTACCAACTATGGAAAATTCATGTTCTACATATGATTTCATTTTTCATAACTTAAACCAAGAGAGAAGAGTCAAAATAATAATCAAATCAATAAACAAGCATAGAAAGTTAATTCATGTACTTCATATTGTCTAGCCAAATTTTGTAGATTAAATTGTTACAATTGTTAGTGTATTTTCAAATGCTTGAATAATATAATAGGTCAGAATTTCATATAACTACTAAAAAGACTTACCATTAACATATTCAACTTCTGCCCCAGGATAATCCACAGGAATGGATCCATCCACAGCTGCTAAATATTGCGGCTGGTACTGTTCGACACCATACCCACTGTGATTAAAATCCATTTCAGTTCAAGCTAAAAGACATTTAATTGGAACTTATTGTAAATTCATAAATGTTGTGATCCATACATAATAGAATAAAGGCAGTGGCTGTGGTTACACCACTCTTAAACCAATTCCTAATTTTGATTGTCTTAAACCAACAGATACAACATCCAATCCAATTAGCTTAAGACTGGTGCAACAATAGCCACTGCCTATAATAAATGCCCACTGACAGTGGCATTGATGCTGCTTACTTTATTATTACCAATTTTTTAAAATCAATTTTTGTATAATACTCCAATGTTTTATTGTTTATTAATTTATGAGAAAAATTATGCTTGTCTTATGTTATGTTTGACTATCAGTAGTAGTAGTGTGAATCAGCAAAGAAAAACAATTGGATCATGTGATATATTTCATGGGCATGTGAATCACGTGATGCATTTCGCAGGCATTCCAAGTTGTACGGCCGCACCCCACTAGGGGCAGCGCACACAAACAACTTTTTGTAGCCCACCAGTTGCAGTAGAGAATAGGAAGGTGTTAACCTTCTTGACGTTTATGTCTGATTGTTGTGCCGCAAGCACACAGTTACTGTACACAGACATAAGTTATCATAATCAATTAAAAACGTCTTTTACTATTTATTGATCTATCTAGATAATTATGATAATGTAATCGGAAATATTAATTAAAGCTAACTAAATGAAGCCTTTTGGTTTTGTATGATTATCACATCTCCCTCTACAAGACTACATCGCTTATAAAATTCCTACTTCGATCATAAAATGCCTTCTTCGATACACTATAATATAAAGGTAAGCTTAGCTTTTTAAATGAAGTAGCCTAGATAATTGAGTCCTAAGCCTCGACCTAGCCCATGCATTCATGCATCATTGCACTGGCTCCGCCACGAACTTGCCGGGCCAGCAGTTAGGGCCGGGACGCCTAGCCTACCTACCCACTTCTTGTCTATCCTGGCTGTGAATCCTGTCTGCTGTGCAAGTGTTAAGCTAAAGAATAAGTAATGCATAAAACAATATAACTAAACATTAATAATGATCAAACTTTAGGAACATAGGCCCTAGATGCATCTTTATAAATCAGTAATCAACTGGCCCAACTTTTTCAGATTTCACAAACAATGTAGAACGCCCCCATGCGACGTACACAACACTAGGATAGCCTATATTTTCCAGCAATTTGTGAACAAGACGAAGGACCCAGTGTTATCTTCACAAAAAATATATTGTTTTATTGGTATAACAACTGTAAACTGGCAAAATCAATAACCAGTAGTATCAGATTATTCTACTGACATAACTAGGCCTAGCACCGGTATGAATTATTAACCTAGGATTGTTTGCAAGTACACAATCCAGTCTGGCAGACACACCCCCGCCAAAAGCCCAGCAGGAGGAGTGGAGACCCAGGTTGTTGATGGTTAGTGAACTTTAGACGTCAGAATCTCCACGTCTCACAACATACTGTACTACTTTGCTAGGCCTATCTGTACCTCAGCAGTATTTTCTACTCTAAAATCTAGCCTTGGCCTTTTTGGAATGAGAAACATAGTACATGATAGAATTTTGAAATTATCAGAACAGACGAAGTACAGGAACGCGGTGATCTGTATCAAAAATGGTCAGTTCTGCAAATCAATGTAATTTCTGATATTGATAATACTGCACTGTTTACAAATAAGCATAGGGCTTTACATTAATGGATTTCATAAGACCTTCATTTTAAACTATCTGGAACAACAAAGGAGAAACAAAGAAAGTTAGTAACTATGGTGTTGTATGCAATTATATCACGTCTCAGTGATGGGTTACCGCTGTCGGCAACCACAGATCATGAGCCAAACAGAAGTGTTTTGGAAAGCAAGAAGTTTGCCAAAATGTTATCAAAAAGAGCCTCTCAATACCCGGACAGGTGTTCTCTCTTCACAGGAAGCCACTGGTTACAGTGAGTACTGCATTGTAAAATATGTTTTTTCGAAGTTCCATTTTTTATTGGAAAAAATAACCACATAATAAGGGCACATAAAAAAAATTGTTTGATTATCACTCCCACCCGCTTCAAAAATTGGGAAATATTGATGCAGGAATAAAAAAAATAATATTTTTTGCAGCATAAATTTTTTCAACAGCTTAGAAAAACAATGCAATTTTGTGACAGGAAATACTGTATTTTCTTTAAAAACAACAAAATTAAATTAAATTAAATACAATATTTACAGTATTCTTACCAAATATCCCTCCCTCCCTCATCAACAAAAATAAGCAATATTCTATTGTTCTGATTAAAAAACAAATGCCCACCCGCATTAATTTTTTTTTTTTAAAGTGTGAATTTTGTCTGTGTCCTAAATGAAATGTTATTTAAATTATCTATGCCTGCATGTACTTTAAAATTATCTTAGCTTAATAAAATTTAATAAACAGATTTCATTAATAAAAGACATGCTATTACTAATTATAATCAAGTAAAAGAAACAAAAAATATTTTGCTGGTAGGGATCACTTTGGCCTAGTAATATAAATTTCAATGACTATAAATTGACCTATTTATTATTGTGTGACCAGTGGCCATTCACATGTATTTATAATTTAATCCACCTATTTGTGTCATCTTAATATCATCAATCTATCAAAATTTATATCGCACGGTATCTCTGCTGCTGTATAAACTTGGTGGTCATTTCAAATTCTGGCAGAACTAAGATTTCTTTTTAACGAATACAGACAACAAGGCAATCATTTATATTCTCTGTGAATGAAATACTTGTTTAGAAAATATGTCACGTTTGTAGATCAATTGCTAACCTCACTTTGTTTCATTCACTTCCATCATTTTTAGCTTCATATCAGCCATTGGCGTGTGCTTTACTACTATGTGTGAGGAGAATTATCCGTCGGTACTAGCTTTCTGTTTTTTGAAGGAGTTACAAAATGAATTCATCACAACCTACGATGGAAAACGAGTTGCCAATGCCCTTCGACCGTATGCGCTAATTGAGTTTGGTGAGCAACATCTTACATATTATGCTGATATGTGTATTTGCATACAAAATAGTATAATAGAAAGGTGGCATGGAGCTTGTGTATGTGTACATTATATTTTAACTCTTGGCATGCGCATATACAGTACACTTTTTTTAGTGCTGTATCACAGCCAGTCAACAAGCTTATAAACAACCATGTGGATTAAAAATGCCCTTCAATTGACCACACTTCTAAGTACTCAGATTATTGTAAAAGAAATCCAAGAACAGTAATGTTTTGCACTGAATTTTTAATAGCATATTGTAGGCCTACTCATTTTAGTTATACTGTGTGCTATGCCAATATACAGGTACTAATTAAAAGTCAAATAAACATATTTTTCTTGCAGATTCCGTAGACATACATTATTATATACCGACTAAATAGATTCCAGGCATTTGATTGGTTAGAAGCTGGGCAATAGTTCTAGTCATGCCCTCCTAGTCGGTCAATATGCCTACAATTTATGTAGTGATAAATAAAACAAATATTTACTGGGATTTTATTTGGGACATAGTTCAAATTATAGCCCTTGGTGATCTGGAGGCGGTACTAGTCCCTCGACTTCGTCTTGGGACATAGTACAGCCTCTAGAACACCTCGGGCTATAATTTGAACCATACCTCTCAACCAGTAAATATTTGTACAATATACTTTTCGAATAGTCGCTTAAATTTGATGGTGATCAAATGATTTCTGTAGCAAAAGTTCAATAAACCAGTAAAAGAGATTTCTTTTGATGTGCATCTGATTGCAAAATTTTTTATGTGCAAATCATTAAATGTTTGAAAGTTCCTCAATTTTATTATCGTTATTTACGTTAATCATTATTCTAATGATTTTTATGTAATTATTATCTTTCACAGATACTTTCATACAAAAGACAAAAACAAGGTTTAACAACACACGAACATTGTCTTCCAAGATAAATCTGACTGAAATGACAATGGAGGTCAAATTAAGGCCCCCATTCCAGTTGACCTTAGATGACCTAGGGTTCAATAATCCCCATAACAGCTATGGATATTCATCAGGTCAAGTGCAAAATAGTACAGACACCTCATATAAACCAAACCAAGGTACAGTACTATATTATTTGTTATCTTTCATATTAAGTAAAGTACAACCCTTATTGAAAAAGGAGATGCATTCAGTACCATAGTAGTGTCCCTTAAATAGGATAGGAGTATCCCTATTTAAGGGACACTAAAGTTTGGTTTCCATACAATCGCTACACTGTCGCTACAGTGTCTTCAGTGCAATCGGGAAGGCTCCCCGATTCGACCAACCAATCAGCTTCACCGAAAGCGATTGACTGGAAACCAAGCTTTACCCAAAACAAGAAATGAAATGATGGCACATCGTTATACCAGGGAGTTGGTTATACAATGATTAAAATATTGATGAAATGGAAGTATCCATTATTAACACATCTATCCACTGCTGTACTAGTAAACATTTGATTCTTTTCAGGTCATGCCAAGCAACTTATGAAGCTGGAGTGGACAGGCATGCTCTGTATACTCTTGAGTTTATTTTGTATGGTCATCAATTTTGCCAGGCTCATCTCATTGGTCAACTATTTACCCACAATGATAGATGTATGTATACCACTGTACTGTACTATATAATTATTGGATACATAAGTAAGTTTTTTACACCTGTTTACGTATATGACAGTTCTATTAAAAAAATAACTTTTTTAAATGGTATTTCTTCCAGGATGACCCAAAAATAATGACACCGTACATAATGGCATTTGGTCTTGCTACTGTTGTCAATATCTACCAAATTTCTCTGCTAATCTGGTTTGTGAGATGGAGAGGTTTAAAGAACATCATCTCTTTTAACATCCTCCTTGTCTGCAACATCTACCTGTTCATGCATCACATGCGCGACCTCTGGATGATTGTCTTTCACATCCTTGTCACGGTCTGTTGCACATATGAGATCTACCATCGAAGGTTGAAGGTTAAGCTTTCAGACTATACAGTGTAAAACACAAAGAGGGCGCAAATGGATTGAGTAACCTGATTACATGAACTCAACCAATCTGTGTAGGTTACTGAGGCCAGCATTACCAGAGTACCATAACAAGATTGGCTGACATTGACAGAAAACATTCAATGGTACCTGCAATGTTCAGCTGACAAAACTTTGCATGTATTTGAGTGTATTCGTGCTTATTAAAATTCAAATGATTGGATGCATTTTGGTACTTGGAACTCTACGGAAGCGCCTCAAAAATTGTTACGAACGATTTGTATGTATCCAGACTTACGATATTATTTATTGCATGATACATTTTGCATATTTTTTTGCGGGTATTTTTTGATACACTACATTAAAATTTCTCTAGTTTTTTTTTTTAATTACCAAAGATTTATATTTCTCTGGCCAAATTGTTACACACATTTTTGGGAAATAATGTAGTGCAAGCAATATGATATTTGGTTTCCACTGCCTATAATTTAATAATTGGACATTTAGTTTTATTTTCACATACACTGTCAAAAAAAAGGTAGGTTCAATTTGATGAAAAATTCTACCTACCAGGTGTGCTATGTTTTTGGGAATATATATACTGTACTGTATTTAATTAACACTGCATTTGTTGGTGATGACCAATACATTAATATTTTCTTTTCATATTTACTAATATTTATACTTTGACCAAAATACTTATTTTTAATACTATTATTTTTATGTATTTTATTTTGTATGTAGGCTTATTTCTCTTTTTTATGATTGATAAAATAGTAACACAAGGCATAATAATATTTAATAATTACTGAGAATATATTTATTCAATTTATATCATACTAACGGTGACTTAACTGAAAACATTTTAAAAATCTTACAGCCATTTTTTTTTTGTGCCAGTACTTATGGCAGAATACTACTGATGTTGAAAATATATTTATGTCACTATCCTGATTCAGGCACAAGACTTAAAAATGTTTTATAGTAATGTCATAGTGAGGGATGCTGCAATATACAGCCAAAATTTCCGTAGCACCTAATAATTTGTCTTTAATGCTATGGGTTGCTTAAATAATAACAGCTGTAGAATTTCAAACAAACAGGACAGGATGAAGATTTACTGTGCAACTTTTTTTTAGTTTCCACAATGTCGGTAATCTGACAAATATAATTGTCTAGGAACAATGCAACCACAGATCCTGATGGAAGTCATTTGTTCCGGATATTAGACCTATTTATTTATGGGTCCAGACATATGATATATTTCTATGTTTTTGTCTATTTCTGTACGTCCGTAATTAGGCAAACTGTAGACACTACGGAGGTTCAGTAGCACTTGTGAATTCCGCTTATATTACCATCAACTTCTTTAATACCAGGCTAATTTTGTATACTTAAAACATGCATTTTCATAGTACATTACAGCAACTAATATTCACTAGGTAGTGGGGTATCAAATTTAACTACACTAATATTTTATTTGCTTATTTCATAATCGTTTCTACATCATAGAAGCAATTTTTTTTTTTTAAGTTATAATTGGGTAACAAATTGCATGTGCTATATTGTAGTTTTAAGTTATATTTTCATAATAAAACAATTAAATTGAAAAAAAGCTCATCTTACATCTGTTATCCTGTTTCCTTCTGGCTTCCAATATAAATGGTGCATTGTTGCTACTGTATATTTGTAAAAAGGTGTGTTATGTACCAGGAAGTTGTCACCCCAGGCATAGAGCAACTGCCCTAGTTTTATAATAGGGATTATCATCATCAGGCATTTAAGTTTAGTCTCTCCGTCTCACCACTTAATTGTATTTGGTAGGATCCAAGCCAAATCACCCAACTGCTAATGGAACCGTGTTCCAATATGGGTAATAACTATTGAGGCAGTGTACTGCAAGAGCTACACTGCCAGATAACTAGCCTGGTGTCATAACCACTAGTTCACCAAACTTAATGACTAGTGTTGAATCCAATCCCCAAATAGCAGCGGGTACTGCAATGCTATTTCAATATATGCATCAGAAAAATATAATAGGAGTGCCTGACATGTTATCATACTGAATATTCTCTACGTTCCCAAATACTTTTAAAAAAAATATTGTGGTTGGGTGGGAATCGAACCCATGACCTCCAGATAACTAGCCTGGTGTTGATATAACCACTAGACCACCGTTCTGCAACCTATGGATTGCGACCCAATGTTTGGGTCACAAAAAAATTTTAATGGGTCACAAAATCGCTTCAGATAAAAAAAAAAATGAGGGTAACAAACGAAAGTGCTGACAGAACAATGGCAACTTAAACACGGCACCGAACTCTGATGAATGTGTGATTGACATTTACCGAGCAAATTATTTTTATGCTGATTAAAATAAACAGGAGTAAGGTGAAGTTCTGGATAAAAGTATCGGAACAGACTGTATTAATTTTCTGTTGATGTCGAAAAGTAAAATATCACACAAACGGGTCTAGGTGGGCCTAATGTATTAATTTTAATGATAATTTTAAGAGTGACATACATCATTGTACTTATTTTCAAATTTTAATTCCCAAAAAGGTTATTCTGTTTCTAAAGAATAACTTTTTTTGGTGTTAACAAGAGTTCTCAAAGATAACACTACATGAGAATCGTTTCATATTCCGATAAATATTGCTATTCCTTTTCAAATAAAGTTTTAATACTTGTTAGTGTCATTTAATTATTTGTGTAAAGGTATTTTTAAACACTTCCAAAATTAAATTACTGAAAAGAATCAAGTGCGCGATTCCTGCGTGAACACCGATATCCCTTGCACGTGGTCAAAATGTAAATGGACGTCCTCAAATCTATAATATCAAAGCAAAATAACAAGGTATCTACATGTAGGTATTTCCATACGTTTTACTTTAAAAATGACATTTTAAATTAAAAGACAAAATTATTAAATATGGTAATGCGAGGAAACAATGAACTCAAGATAGCGACTAAAAGCAAGCAAACCTGACCACAATAATAACATTTTTATTATTTTGGCTGAGATTTTTCAAGATAATTTGGCCTGAGTTCGATGAGTCGCAGCTAAAAAGATTTGGATCTGGGTCGCGGGCTAAAAAGGTTGCGGAATGGTGCACTAGATGATAAAGCTTGCTCTTAGTGACTAGTGTTGTATTTGATCCCTAAATAGCAGTGCTACTGCTAAATTCGATCCCCAAATAGCAGTGCTACTGCAATGCCATTTCAATGTTTGCATCAGCAAAATGAAGGAGTGTTTTTTTGCCCTACCTGACTCGTTGTCATACTGAATATTCAGTACGTTCCCAAATACTTGCGGGAAAAAAATTGTGATTGGGTGGGAATCAAACCCATGACCTCCAGGTAATTAGCCTGGTGTTATAACCACTAGGCCACCAGCTTGTGCTTAGTGACTAGTGTTTAATCTGTGTTAAATGCTATTTCGATGTGTTTGCATCAGAAAAAAATAGTGATGTTTGCCCTACCTGTTGTAAAACCTGACTATGTAGGTATTGGATTTGATTCCAAATCACTTGCAAATTTGTTTTTGCAAGTATGTGGGAACGTATTGAGTATTCAGTAACACGTCAGTATTTTCCTGCCACAAACACACTAAAACATTTCTTTTGTGTCCTTGGTCAAGGCACTTTAAAGTTGTACTGTCTCCCACCAGAAGCAAAAAACTGCTACCAGGTGGAATGTTGTAATGTGTTGATCTGATATTTAGTAAAATACGCAGACTTGCCCAAGTTATCTTTCTATTTTTATAAGCGCAACTAATGAGTGAAGTAAGCTATCAAAGATGTTACACCTTGTGTGTTTTAGATGTAGATCTGATGACCAAGGGTAAAAACTTTGCATGTTCACTGACACCTGGTCTTCAGGTTTTACAAAGATGTAAATTATGTATTTAAGCAGAAGCAACATCGATGATCTCCAGTCGAGCATCTACACAATAAGTTGACGCCGATAAATACATACGTTGTACCAGTACAGACAGTGATTAGAAATTACCTGAAAAAACCGCTTGTTTTGAAACCCTTTGTCAAAATGTAATAATTTTTAAAAACTGTATTTCGCGCTGTTTGTCAACAGCGACTTCTGTAATGGCTCACACAGGTCAAACGACAGCTGTTTACCATAATGAACATGCCGATGATCTTGGTTAACTCTACGGTAATGTGGAGGTAACTTTATAGATCATCGCGGTTACTGATCCATTATTCGGAGTTACCAACACCATTTACACAGCCAGTTAACATCTATTTCATCAGATAAACGCGATCATCTCAATGATCTGATGTGTAAATGTGGCTATTATTATTATTATTACTATCATAACAACCACCAAAAACACAATCATCATCACCACCACCACAATAACCGTCCCTAAAAAGCACTTATTTTTTGAGTCATGAAATAACCAACAACAAATTTCAGTACAATTACTAAAAATTATAGCATTTAATTGCTAGCATGTGGCATGCAAATGCAAAATGCTCAACTAAAATACAACATACAAATAACAAGAATGATGCAATACAAATTTCCTGATTTACATTAATCACAAACATCGAAGAGCATACTAAACATCAAGCTAGATAAGCAAAGATCAATTAGTGATATTCCATAGCTGGATTTGCAAATGAGGCAAGGAACTTTTTTTAGTTTGTGTGTAATTCTGGTTGTCATTCATTCTTATGCCAATTTACATTTTTTTATGTTATTATGCTCAACTAAAAACTAAAAGAAGCAAGCATGGTAAAGGAAGCTTGGTGATAAAATAACACCTATGTAAGTGTGACAGACACTTAAAACTTCTTTTTAAGAGATTAAGTATCAATGCATCAAACTGATTTAAACACTATCTTGATAAGTATAACAAAAAAGCTTAATTACATCATTCAATGATTATTTCTTTTGCAAACAATAATAACCAGAGTATGAACAACAAAACAATTAAATGCTTTCTCATGAAGGAGACAAAAACAAATGTGTACTTTTGTTTTCTTTTATAAAATGCACATTAATAGTGCATTTTTTGATTGAGCACGTTCGACGCCATGCAATATAAGAAACTCATTTCCTTTAGCCACCGAACATTTTTAAAGGGCACCACTAAGTAGACATATTCCCAGTTGCACTTAATAAAAACACAGTAACAATTTATTCATATTTCTAAATTAGTAAGTGTTTTCATGAGCTGCTATTGGTATTTTTATGCATTTGTGGCAACGCCGCCACCACCACCACCATAATGTACAATAAAAAATAAAAACATATCTCCCTGTATACTCCCACACCCTCTGCAACCCCTTTACCTACAGGCCTGGTGGCAGCAAGTGTTAAAATGTCAATTTCCAACTGCCATGCAATATAAGAAACTCATTTCCTTTAGCCACCGAACATTTTTAAACGGCACCACTAAGTAAACATATTCCCAGTTGCACTTAATAAAAACACAGGAACAATTTATTTATATTTCTAAATTAGTAAGTGTCTTCATGAGCTGCTCTTGGTGTTTTTATGCACTTGTGGCAACACCACCACCACCACGGTGGTGGCAGTTAAATAATAAATAAAATTTAAAGAAAACCACCACCACCATAATGTACAATATAAAATAAAAACATATCTCCCTGTATACTCCCTGTATTGTAAGAAACCCACACCCTCTGCAACCCCTTTGCCTACAGGCCTGGTGGCAGCAAGTGTTAAAATGTCAATTTCCAACTCCTAAGGTACACCTGCGCATGAGATTTCAGTGTAACAGTTCTCTCAGTGACAATGCAATACACAAGTATTCATCTAGCAGGGTGTGTGGAAAACTACATTTAAACATTTTCTGTTCTCTACATACCAAACTTCGCTTGGTATGTAGAGAGATTCCCCCATTTACCAAGGCAACCAATCTATTATTTAATTATGTTTACTACTGGCAAAAGTTAAAAAACTAAACAACACATTTTCTCTCTTTTTTGAAAAAAAAAACAAAACCCCAAAAATGTGCTACAACAGTTTTATACTCTAAATTTCATAACATTCTCTTACATGTCTTGTACATGTAAGTGCCAATCTCTAGGTCACAACACAAGTGTAGAAGTCTCAATATCATATGTGTTTTACATCCAATACAAACTCTGGCTGAGCAAGACTTCCACAAAACTTCACAAATATATTACAAGAAATAATCTAGTAATGGTCCCAAAACTTATGGAATAATGTTCCATAAGAAATTAACACCAGCACTAATAATACACTGAAATAAAAAAATAAAAATTACTCTTGGAACGTAAGATTGCAGATGAACAGTCTGCGTCAGAAGTTGATGAAAATGAGTCGGTTTCAGTTATTGGCTTCAAATGGTATGAAGGAACAATGTTTTCTACATGTTTGCCAGATCTTTCACAAAATCAAAAGCAAAGTTTTTTTTATTTCTAATTCTGTTAAGTCGGGCCTTCACTGCGCCAGACGATGCCATTCTATAGAGAACACAATGTCATGACGCGCGCGCAATCAATCGTTTTTAATGACGATCCATTCAGACTGCCATCGACGATCAGCAGCCGGCATTGTGTCGTTGAGCGCTTAGAGGGAGCGGGGCTGGATTCGTGGTACGACCATCGCATGACGTAGTGAGTGCCCTGCTTTGTGTTTTCTACGTTTCTTCTTTCGGTATGTGTATTTCAGATGGATGGACTCGGGACTTTTTTTACATTTTTGGATTATTCAAGTAATATGGTTTACAACAAACAAAATCAATCATTTCTTGGTCACTCGTCAGTAGGGTAAAAAGGAAGTCATGATTTTTCTAGAATATAAACTATGCAACAAAAGATGACACTTTAAAATTGTTATCCATAACTAAACAACCACTCCCACCAATTCCTCAATAAAACGTTTAATTGAATAATAGTATGACTTTGAAGCACCATCTTTTAGAATAAAGTTTGATCAAATCAGTAAAGCAAAAGGATTGTAGGTCATAATTTGTGGCATGAAACACTTCAATCATATTATGTTTCAATCACATTAACATTTTTAATTATAAACTGAATCATGACACTTGTTACAAAATTCAAAATATGAACACTGAAAAAGTTATCTCATGATATGAGTTGTACAGTATATAAGTGAATACAAGACTTGTCTCATAATAAGTTGAGATAAAAACAGCATGATTGAACACAAAACAGCATGATTGAACACAAAACAGGACCAATAGCATCCCTGCATGAGTGAAGCTGCTGGATGTGGGACAGGAAGGGTAATTACCAATATCTATTTCACTTATATACATGTTACTTTCGGTCCCCTGAAGTCCTGCTGCATCCATCTCTTCTCATCTCTTACGTTTGGCTAAGGCTTGGGCAAAGGCAAGAGAAACCTCTTCTGTCATCGACTTGTCCTCAACATTCTAATTTGGAACAAAATGGAAGAATTTCTGTTTTATGATTGTCCTACACATGAGCATGAATGATGTCATGCCACACCCATATGTGGGTAAATAACAGGTATTTGACACATAGTGAGGACACAACTTAAGGAAAATGCATACTTCCAGATGATGCATACAAAGTCAAGCCATTTTGACAAATTTTATTAGGTTTTCTTTTCAACTTCTTTCACATTCAACAGCAAGTACAGAGCTTGCTAACTACAGGAAGGAATTATGCAATGCTTAATGCAAAAGCAGGGGTGGGCCAGCAAACTGTTAGGAAAAGCCCTGTCATCACAATTTCACCATCCTAAGCCATTATAATCTCTCTACCTTGACCCACATGGGTTTCTATCTGGTACCCTGACTGAAGACCCTTGGCTGAATGCCCTATTGGACAGTCAGTCAGCAAATTTATGGAGGAACTTACAGTAAGAGTGCACACCAACTGCCAATACAAAACTCCAGCATCTTTCATTAATGGAATAATACAGTAATTAAATGATTTTAGACATACATTATTAATAATAAACCTAATAAATATACAGTACATAGATTTTACAAGGTCTCAATATTGTAATTCAAATTTCAGACATACACTTATTTACTCATGGGTGAATAATATAAATATAGGAGCTTTGTACCAATGAAACATACTGCTATACCAAAGATCTTATAAGCACAAGATAGCGTTCTCCGTCATATACGCGTAAAATAGAAGCGTCGATTTGGCAGAAAAAGTAATCACTTTTGGGTAAGGGCGTCCTAGCTGTTGCCATGGATCTGAGATAAGGTGTTCGCGTTATGCCAAAATTTGTTACCAAGTACGCTAATTGTTCCTTATTTTGTTCTAAAGAGAGGGTCGCATTAATCATCGACACTTCTAATTGTTCCGCCTAAAAGTAAGGCCGCATGTTGTACGCTATGGACAAAGCAAAGTTTAAAAGTGTTCACTTTTGCAAGAGGCGCCGTACACTGCGTTATTACAGAATTTCCGCGTGGAAATGGAGGAGAATGCTATCTTGTGTTTATAAGATCTATGTGCTATACTCACCACATCTCTACGTCGTCCAATGTGATCTGTAGTTGTCCTCTTTATTGGCTTTAAAGACAGATATTTATAATTCAAGAGTTAGTAGAAAAAAAATCTTGATATAAAATAGTTTAACATAAAAATAAATATTACTTAACAATTCAAATAAATGACACTTTTCTATTTTAAAAATCAACAATATACAGAAACCTAATTTCCATCTTACCGGTTCTGATGGGTCATCACCAGGACGTAGTCGATGACGTGCTATCAAGTCACCAGGACGTGGAGTATGGGCAGGAGAAGGTCGTCTCTCAGGGCTATGACCTCTCAGATATCTGTCCCTTGAGGGACGGTCAGATCGGTCTCTACGGTCATACAATGGGTCATCACGGTATGGATCACGTGTACGCTCTTCTAACCGTTCATATCTGTATTTATCTTCTCTGTATCTGATCCTAGGGTGACCTTTTATCCTTTCATCGTCCTGGTAAGGATCTCTTAATGGATCTTCTCGATGTCTTGATATGGCTTCTAAAGGATCATCTCTATATAAATCTCTTGGTATGTCACGGCTATCCCGATATGGATCAGGCCGATCTCTGATTTGAGGACCTGAATATAAATCCTGTGGATGATCTCGCAATTCTTGTGGATAATCTCGGAAATCTTGTGGAAGATCTTGCAAATCTTGAGGACGATCTCGCAAATCTTGTGGGTGATCTCTAAAATCACGAGATTGATCTCGAGGATGATCCCTAAAATCACGAGATTGATCTCGGGGATGATCTCTAAAGTCACGTGAATGATCTCGAGGATGATTTTGTGGATGATCTCTAAATTCATGTGACTGACGTCGAGGATATTCATGTGGATGATCTCGAAAATCATGTGGATAATCTTGAGGATGATCTTGTACATGATCTCGAAAATCTTGTGGATCTCTTAAATCTTGTGGATGATCCCCATGATATGGATCTCTTCTAAGGTCGTATAATTGATCATCTCTTGTGTAAAGATCACTTCTTGGATCATCTAACTCAGAATGACCATACTCAAGGTATTTACTATATGGATCCCGTGGTCTTGGTCGTCCATATTCTGCATCGTCTCTGTACAGATCTCTTGGAGGTTCTGGTGTAAAGTGTTCTTCATAACTGCTTGTGGGATGACCATGGTATGGATCTCTAGCTAGTGGGACATCCATATATTCTTCTGGAATGTCTCTGTTGTCAGGGTGGAGAGAACGATCCCTCATTGAATCATTCATTGGATCTTGATGGAATGGTTCCTGTGGTCTTTCAAAAGATTGTTTTTCGACATAGTCCTTTGGATGATTCTCCTGGAATTGTTCTTCAAAGGCATATCTTGAATTACCAGGAGGCAAGTCATCCCTATTAAAATAATCGGAAAATATAATGCAATAGAACTAAATAAAATGCCTAAGTTATACAGGCATATATTATTGTAAAGCCATATAAATATTATTAATAACAAATATTTATTTTCAGGTGTATGTGTACATTATTCATGTTAAGTCGTCATTGTGTATGTTTTTGGATTTAGAAGTGAATGATCACTGATGAAGACCTATGGTACTGTACCTTTTCTTGGGTATCGGAAGTTGTAACAATGGTGCTTGATGACTCTTCCCTATTTCACCACCTTGATAAGAAACGGGGAAAAAAATATATAAAATAAACACCTTTTAAAAAAGCATGAGTTACCATTTTTAAACTGCAAAGATGAGAATAAACTCAGATACATTTCCAATGAATACCGGTTTAAACTCTCAAAATTTGCACTAAGCTACACTGGCAGAAAACACAGGTTCGATTAATGCCTTATATTTCCTATCAGAAAGATAAAGACTCATAACTCATTTTATTGCAATCATATAACAGATTGGATAATACAAAATATTCAGAGAAAGAAATAAAACACAAACAGGGACAATAAGAAGACATTCATAGATAAAGAAACAAAAAACCAGCCAATTGAAATTAAGAATATCATTATCATTATATATACAAAAATTATCCATAATTACTATTTACAAAAATCCTAATCACAAGAACAGGCAATTTCTAAATGTCAAAAATCCATTCATATAATTAAAATTTATCATTATTTACAAAGATTTATAAAAATTCAAAATTTTAATCACAAACAGAAGCAAATTCTAAATATCTAAAATTTAATCAGTTTGGTTAAAAATAAATAAACAGAATACCCATACACACAAGAACACAAACAACACACAATTACAGTAATGTTGCTGCAGCCAAGGCCTACAAAGAAGGACTGAATTTGGAGTTTTCCAATGTTAAATGCATCCTGGACATCAAACCTAGAAAGTTTGGCAACCCAAGCCATACTTTTTGCTCCAGAGTTCTGGAGTTGGAACATTTTGGCTACTGTCTTGAGTTGTGTTTGCAGTGAAGAAATGCTATTCAAACATTAAACCATTCAATTCAATAGGTTGTTTGACCGTCCAATTACCAACCTGGTTTGCCCTGCCCTGTTTGTTTCATCGCTACCATCACTTTGACTTTGCCTCGACCATCCATTCCCTCAATCATTTTGGCTGTACTGCATAAAAACTCGGTCTTTTCCTTGCGTGATAATTTCTCTTGACCTGAATTCATCCTATAGAACGAATCTGAATACTCCGCATAATGTTTATTCTGCAGACATTAAACATAAAGTTAAAAATTGGTAAACCTAGGAAAGGCTAGAGAACCTCAAATACTTGTACAAGAACTTAATATTATAAACAATAACAATAATATCTGTAACAAATTTAACAATATGAAAAACAATAATCGTTAAACAACTTTTTAAGCACAAGGATATACAATTCTTTTATACAAAATACTCAATCCCTATCATAAACAGGATTTTTTCTCAATGAAAACAACTCCACACTCTATCAGAAGACTCATAATAAAGCATCTTGTTTGTATGTCTTGTGAAAAGATTATATTTTTATAATAAAGTAATTGTAGGTTTCCTATTGGTATATCCTTGGCCTGTGGAAGTGTGCGGTACAGCCTGCAAGGCATTGGTCTTTCAATCAAAAGATCATTGGTTGAAGACCAATGCTGGTCATGCTGCTTGTGTCCTTGGGCAAGCCACTATCTCATGTTTGCCACTCTTTTCACCAAGGACTGAGTACCTGATGGGAGTAGGTGAAGGATTCAGAATGATATTAGTAGTTCTATTTAAACTACATGCTACTACTACTAGGAATATTTTCCAGGGGGTGGAGAAGGTTTCATGTTGTGTATGACTGATTCAGTATCCAATTACCAGGAAAAAGAGCACCATGAGTAGATCTTTGGAAATGGATTGGTTGTATTGGATGCGCTATATAAATCTTATTAAACAAATAATACATATTTTAATTAAATTTTTTTTTACACAAAATGCCTTTTATCTTGACTACAAATATGTCGTAAGAAATGAAATCTATGCTATTATTAATATAACTTTAAAACTTACAATATAATTTAAACGATGTTTGGATCCAAGAAGATGAGGAAACAGAGCATTTTCAATCATGACATCCGTCATGACAACAGAACACAGCATGCAGACAAAGGTTATTGGTGCGTCTGGATCGTTCCTCTCAATCAGGTACTGCAACCCTAATAATAATTTGAACAGGGAAACACCTGTTGAAATAATAGTCTCTACTACTACTAAGCAAACACTACAATTGTACAGTAATCAATATCTTAGCATTTGTTATATGTGACTAACTCTGGGTCAACACGTCATTTGTCGCAATTTCTAATTGCAACCAAAACGTTCAAGAATCAAAATTTTGAACATTTTCAGGTTTTTTGCATTTAATAAAAGAAGATATTTTGAAGAACATTTCAGTCAAATACCAATCACTGAATCTAAATAAAAAGTTTATTAAAATTGTTTTTAAAACACAAATCCTAACAATGAACTATTGATTTTTGAAACTTTAGAAGCTGTTTTCTCAAAACCTACATGGCTCATATCCAGTTAATTAAATAATTGCAATTCCGCTGATACTAAACCAATTTCCATCAAATAAACAGTTTTAAAGAAGAATTCACGCAGAATGTCAAAATACCAATAACTCAATTTTGAATTTTTCCGATGAAAGGCTGGTTTTGTCAGAGCCGGTCACACATATGGGGCTTACTAGGCCAAAACCTGCATTAGTGACCAAAACATTCTACACATTATAAGCTTGAAAATGATGGGTCATTTTACTATAATTGACCTACTATTGCCAAAGTTATGAGTAGAAGTATCACAGCTTCTATGTGCTAAATATACAATACTGATACATTCTTATGCTACTTAATTATCAGTTTAACAATCAGCGACAGTGCGCTGGTTTCGGGTTAATGAGCCTCATATGAAGCTGGCCATCCCAAAACCAGCTTCTGTGAATGAAAAAAAAAATTTTACTTCTTAATGAATATATTTTTATTTTCCATATTGTAAACTTTAACATGATTGGTCATCTATTGGAATTGACTTATATTGCCAAAGTTATGAGTAAAAGTATCAGAGCTTCTCTGTGCTAAATATACAATACTGCTACATTCTTATGATAAATACTCAGTTTAACAATTAGAGACAGTATGCTGGTTTTGGAATGGCACGCCTCATTATTATATTGAAAAATACATTACCAATCAAGGGTTCCTTGCAGTCTCTGATTTTCTGGTCAACTGAGGTAATTTTATCCGTTTCTATAGCATCATTCATACTACTCACTATCCATTGTTCCACTTCAGAAAATAATCAGAAAATTAGATGGAATACATGCAAATAGAATTAATGGGTGACAATCATCTATAACAAGAAACTTAACAACAAGTAATCAGAAATTTCTAGCAACAAAAGTAACACTTATTACACTAAGTTGTGCTTTTGCTTATAAAAAAAAATTGAGATTTATGCATAATTAAAAACAAAGACAATTTGTTATGCATTACAAATGCATTCTCCATACTGTACAAATTGTATGAAAAACATCAAGATTTATGCATAATTAACAACAAAGACAATTAATTTGTTATGCACTACAAATGCATTCTCCATACTACAAATTGTATGGTGTAATAAATCCTAGACTCAACACTGAAAACCAATCAAATTCTAAGACAAGTATTATTCATTAAGTAGAAATCTGTAGCCCACCCTATCCTAGTCCAATCCAAGTGGTTTGTAATATTATAATAATGGTCTGTTACGAGTACTGGATACTTCAGACCAGATCTTGAATAGCAGTTGACAAACATTGGGATTTGGGTAAAGACGTTAGGGAGGTTTCACAAGCTTAAGAAGTAGATAACGAATATGGTTACATCATCAAATGCGGCCAAGACAAGCCAAACCAGTCAATCGTCGCAAAAATCAATTTTTTTTTTTTTAGTTATTAGTACACAGTGAAACTGTAAAGAGCTATAAAATGATAAAAGAATCATCTTATAAAGTTACAAACCTTTAAAGCTACAGCTGTTTAACGAACAATATTTGAGAAATGAGCCTTCAAATTTTATGATTTCAGGCATTTCTCAGGCAGAAACCATCACCAACTCATTAACAATTACTGTATTCTTTCAACATTGAAAATGGAAAAATAACAGCATAGCATGATGTATAGATATATACAGTATAAAGATTAGTTTAGTGCAATAAAATAGATTTCAAAAATGTTGTCATTCCAGCATGTTTTGGCACTTATCTCTGAAACATGATTTGCGACGAGTGACTGTTTCGGATTGTCTTTGTCACCGATATTTAGTCAATCCATCCCCTTCGTTAGCATATCTGTCATAATGTAGGCCATCCACGACTACATGAATCAATGATCATATTCAGCTCATATATGAATTGTCAAGAATTTTTTAGGCACAAATGACGATAATGAAGGCGACATATTGCTATTCGTTGTCATTTTCGTAAAGATGCAAAATCTCCCCAATATGGCCAGTGTATAGAACTTTTATGTAGTGATTATAGACTACCATAGTAATATAAAACTCAAATTTTCTGGCAAATAATGCCAGTGTATAGAACTTTTATGTGGTGATTATAGACTACCATAGTAATATAAAACTCAAATTTTCTGGCAAATAATGTAAGTAAATCTGGTCATGGGAGAACACTGAAAAATCAGGTACACATTTTGGGGTAAGGTTTACAGATATTGTGGTTACTAATCTTTCACATTGGAAACTAAATATTAGTAGTTAGCTGCTATTTCTTAAAATCACAATGTTTTTTTTTTTTTTTAATCAATGGTATGATGGTAGAACTGTTCCACACTGTATAGTAGAAATGAGTTGATAAACTTACAATTAAGCATGTATCTATTTTGAACCAGGTCAGCAAGAGCTAAAAACTGCTGAATAAGCTGTGAAAAGTATTGTACTTTGTGTAGGCTTTGCATATGAAATCAAAATGCAATTGGTTGGAATTTAGGGTCAGAAAATCACATGTTTTTGCAAAGTGTTTAGACTTGAGATATGGATGACCATGTGAAGCAGAACGCTCCAGAATTATGACTAGGTACCAGTGAATACTGTGGCAGATAGTTATATAATTTTTTTTTGTGTAAATTATTAAAATATGTAATGCCAACTTAAGATCTTATAATCAAAGGATTTGCACTAACAGAGAAGACAGTGTATAATGAAGTAATAATTGCCACTACTAATTCAACCGTGTTCAACCGATCTGGGAGGTTTAGTTTCTTTTCATACAGAATGTAAACCCACCTAGAACATATTGTTCAAACTTAGCTAGATTGTCTGCCTGATCATGGGGTTATGATGTTTAAGATCAGGATTGATGGGGTTTAACATTGTGTATGGTCCATCTAACAATGATGAGTATTTTGGCCATTCTCCTACCAAGCCCAATTCTAGGGCTTGTGAACTGGAGTATTTTTCTGCACAATGGTGCATCTAGTAGTCTTAAAATGGCGGGGTGGGTGTCTGATGGAGCGCGAAGGTGAAGTGGGGCCTTGATGGATAAGTGAGGGGGAACTACCTCGTACAATAAGGTGATATGAGGCGATTTTCAACTACTAGAAGTTTTTTTCAATGGGGCAACTGGGGAAGCACAAGCTATTTATTGGTAGCCCCACCCACTAGATACGCCAGCCACTGTTTTTGTGACATTTTTTGGGAGATTATGCAGGAATTGATCAAGAGTGTGGAAAGAAAGTATCATTAAACAACCAAGATACTTCATTCCAGACATTTGTAGTGTTTGAAAGTCTCTTGTAAGTTGCAGTAGCAGGCTAAAAAAAAATATTTCCAGCAATCTAACAAATCACTGGCAAGTTCACAACAAAGCAAAATTAGTTTATCTTCTTTTGCACTTTCCTGTACTATTGTCTCTCCGAAATTAGCCAGCCATGAGTATCACTGCGCAAAACAAAATGAAATGTCTTACGAAGACTTGTTAAACCAGATCTCTCTCTCTGAAGTAGCTTTTCGCATACTATTTCAGAGAGTATGGTTGTCTTCAAAATTTCCATTCCATAGTAAAATATATTTAACTACATTACGATGTAAATTTGTAGCCTATTTTATTTATACTTACCATACCATCATTTATACTTTGGCAACATAAGTAAATGATTGGAGATTTGGGAAAGGAGCATACAAACTATGTATGGAAAAGAACTGTTTGACCTCTCCTGATCAGGAGTCAGTGACCAATCTCTTCAGATAGCAGTCTACGAAATTTTCTCTATGGCAGTAGTGGCTCTAGGCCATTCATATTTGAGGAAGCAATGCTGTCAGAAAGGGGGTCTGACAATTTTGGTGGAGGCCTGAGGCAAAGCTCTGGTAGGGGTCCATGTGAGAAAATTCTTTATCCTGGTTTAAAAAATGAAGATCAACTACTACCATAATTACTCCATAGTTAGACCAGACATAGGCCTTGTTCAAGGTATGCTGCCAAAGCAATATTGCTATGCTTAATCAAGTTAAGGGAAGCCAACCTACCTAATCTAGAGGTCCTATCCTGGATCACCACATTGTGGAAATGAAATTCCTATTTCCACATTTTGGTGACACCGGTTAAATTGTAATAAATTAGAAAAGCAATTTTACAATTTTGTGAAAAAAATACAGTTGAATACATAAACATAAATGAGAAAGTAAAGAGGAATTTTTTCAAATTTATGACAATGTAGTGGAAGTGACAATTCTGCTAAACCCCACCCTTCAGATATTGTATGTCCCACAGAACATCGACGCAAATGTATGTAAACTTGTGTGTTTGTTTGAAAATAACATCTTACACCTAATTCATTGAGCGTGGCTAGTGTAGGGCTTGATTCCCAAATATTAAAGCTAAAGCAATTATTAGAAAAAAAATTTATCTTAAAATATTTTTAGCAATGCATTGAAATTACTATAAATGTATAGGTTGATAATGTTATTTAACCATCTATGATTTGCAAAGCAGTATAAAGGAGTTGTACCCCTTGTTTATAGTACTAGGTAAATCATAATATTATAACTGAATATATTATAATTGATTCATATTATTGAGGTAGTCTTAATTAATTTTCTTGACTTTTTTTGTCCTGGGAAACACAGATGAAAAGTTCTAAAGGAGAGCTTCACACAGCAGTGTGAAAAAGCTGATCAGTTATTACAATTAAAAATTACATATATTTAAGATACTGTAATAAAAGACAAAACATTTTCATTAAAAAAAATTATCAAATTCTACAGGAAAAATTAAACAATATTGATAAAATCCCAAATTTTCAGAAAAAAAGTGGAACTTTGGCCACTTAGTTGCCACCAATTGATGTGTTGCCTGTAAGTTGGTGCTGGATTAGAAAAGTCAAGCGCTGCTTATTCCTGTACTTACTTCTTTCATGTGATTGGAGTTTCTAGAAAGAGAGAAAAAAAAATTGGAGGAATGACGGTTATCAATTATATTAATAATAATAATAAGTGGAATTTGTATAGCGCATAATACAATGATCTCTATGTGTTACAGTGATTTGGAAATAAAGAGAAGAATTAGAGTAAATTAAAAAGATGAGTCTTAAGCCAATTCTTAAAGAGATCAAGAGAAGGACATCACACAATTGTATTCTTTTTCTGTGTTGCCATTTAAAAACTTTTCTCAACACTTCTCTTTGTTCTGCATTATACAATATTATGGTAGTCTAAGTTAAAGAATACTTGCATAGAAAAGAAATAATAATATAGACTGTTCCAGCTCTCTTAATTTCAATTGAACATACCTGTATTCTGGTTTCTGATACTAAGACTGGACAACTGTATAGTTGTCTCAGTTTTAAGATAATACTTTATTAAAAGATTTGTTTACATGTATAGATTAAAATCTATACATCACCTTCATACAACTATAACTTTTACTGCACATCTACTATTTTGCTTGGACCGACCATTGTACATGGATTTCTACAGTAATTTGTAACGGTTGTAATACATAATTATACTTGTACTTATTCTATCAAGTATAGAAAAATGGTTTTCTACATGAATCCAGATTAACTGCAGTGCTAGCTATCGTTCTAAATCATAGATTTTTAGCAAACACAACCAACTGGTACGCTGTTTAGCCTGGTACGCTGTTTAGCCTGGCTCGCAGTGTGAGAGCTGCCAACAGCGGCTGACAGTATGTGCAAATGATCTTTGAAAACAATGCGTTGCGAGATGCGTCAGCTACGAACGTGAAATCAGTGTGCACCAGGCTTGAGTGAACATGTTTAATTGTGGCTTCATGCTGATTTATGCAAACATATAGCTTATCCTCGCAAGACAAGGCTTAAAATACAGTAGCAAGTGACTATCGAAAAACAAGAGGGGAGAGGAGTGGGTTCGTCTAATACGTAATCCACTTTATTCAGTAGTTAAATTTAGACGAGTTTGAATTAAGCCCAAAGTAGCAGTCTACTGGACAGTCTTTGTCCTAAACACTGTTTAGTGCCAGTGAAGACACACTCTGTATTTACAATACTTTGAGCTTACTCCTTACATACATGCACGTAATCAAGGCAAGTAAGGAATGTGCGCTCATAGTATGCATTATGTAAGCATATTTCAGAGCTCAGTGGTAAATGTGAATTTGAATCTAACTTTCGCATTTTTTTCATTAAAAATTATAAGTCAATCGTGACATCATCATTGCAACTCCCAATATTATTTGCCTATTCCCACAGACCAATAATTTTTCACATAGTGGACGCTTGGCTTGATTCTTTTTTAGGTTCGTGTGCAAAAAAAAAAACTAATTTTTTTTTTCATCATCTCGAAGATATCGCGCACCGCGATGAAAATGGAATTGTAATCGAAAATTACTTTCGTAAAGCAAGGTTAATTACAGTAGGAACCTGAAGAAAGTTACTTTAAATTCAATATTAAGTATGAACAATTATAGACAATTATAGATAAAAAAAATCTGAAAAAAATGAGTTAGGGGGAATGGAATGTTAGAAGCAATCCACATAGCCAGATATCCTAATTAATCCCTTCTGGTCACCCCAAGCCCTGTTGACACTTGATTTTACTACTTGTATACAAATGGCGGCCATTTTGAAAAATTTATCTAAAATGTGCATAAAATTGAAACTAAATAAGTTACAGATATGATTTTGGTATCTAAACTCATAATTTCTAGACAGGCAACAAACTAGACATATAAAAACTACTGTCACTCAAGCCAGAATGGAACATAATTAAAAATAGGTGTTTATTTGTTTAAAAGTAATCGAAAAATATGCTTACTTAAAATGTACATAAAATAAGAACGAGTATATAAGCTAGTTTTCTATGTAATCCAGATAGATTTTTGAGCAAAAATAGATTTTATTGACTAAATTTATCATTTTTACTGCGCTGAATTCAAAAAAGTTAGGTGCCATTTTTTTTCCCAAAGTCATCGGCCGCCATTTTGAATTTCAAGATGGCTGACGCAACACATAAAACATGGTCATGATTGGTGTCAATGGAAAGCAGTGGCGGATCCAGGGTGGGGGGTTGGGGCGGTTCAAGGGGTTCGGATGAACCCCCCTCTGTGAAGAAACGTAACAAAATACTATTGGGTCCTTGCTTACAACACGCATTACCAACCGTTTTTCGCGCATCGTGCGGGACGGTCCCGCTTCAAAGCGATTTTGGATGTAACACGCATTTGGAAGCGGTTTGGCGTACGTGAAAGGTTTGGTTCCCAACCTCGAGGTCGGGGTTTCAATCCCTCGCTGTGCATTTCGCTTGTGTCCTTGAGCAAGGCACTTTATCTGCATTGCTTCTCTCCACTCAGGAGTATAAATGGGTACCTGGTGGGGT